AGTTTATTTAGCACAGCAAAGGACAGTACACTCCAGAAAGAGGTAGGAGAGATTGGGAAGGGCTGACCAGAAGGGCGTGTAGAAGCTCCCCTTCCAAATCATGGATGGTCTGGATCTCCTTTTTAGGGTATTTCTTCCCATAACCCTCTTGAGAGGCCCAGAGGATGTGAACCACTGTGTAGGTGACTCTGAAGTGAAGTCTGGCTCTTTGTAGTTGCAAACCTTTTGTTAGTGCACACATGTGGCATTTGGGAAAGTGCCCTGGTGCTTCAGTTTCTGATATAGCTAGAACAGCTCGCAACTTCAAGAATGTTTGACCACAAGGGGGTTTCTGACCTTCTGCAGAGGGCCACCAAGATGCAGCTGCTGTTCCCTTGGTTACCTCAGCACTGGCTTCTTGCCTACCCTGTCTCAAATGGACCCATTTCTTATTTCACTGTAGTAGAGTGGTGTGTGTGTGTGTGTGTGTGTGTGTATCTCTGTGTGTGTGTGTGTGTATCTCTGTGTGTGTGTCTGTGCGTCTGTGTGTATCTGTGTATGTGTGCACATGTGCGCGTGTGTGTGCGTGTGCACATGCGTGTGTGGGCCTGTGATGAGAGGCCGTTCTGAGATGTCCTACTTCACTCTGAGGCTCTGGTCTTTGGCCTGAAGGTCTGTGTATCTTCCACAGCTGTCTTTCTGGGTGCCCAGTCCTTGTTTGTCAAACTCCATTTCTCAGAAATGTCACCTCATCTTCTTTCCTGCCGCTGCCAATCTTTTTGTTAACCCTGCTTTCTCTGGGGCTTTATCTTTGGGTTTTCAAGATCTTATTTTGGATGTAATAGAAAAGAGTGTTTCTCCCTCTTTCTGGTCCAGCTTTGATCTAAAATACATTCTAGATGATAGGATGCCAGTTTTGGACTAGACTACAAGGGTGATTGGGAAAGAAAAAAAGAACTCTGTAAGAAGGATGGCTTGTCTTCCTAACACCCATTGAGTTGTTGGTGAGGTGTGACGCTTCACCTGCTTCCGGGAGCCCAGTTCTGTTACTCTTCCCACCCTCTCTCCTTCCCCTCACTCACCTCTGTGGTTCTCCCCCTCCCTTTGGGCAACACTGAGGGGAGAATCCTTCCTCACAGCACTCCCTGTCTGGTTCAAGTTCAGAGTGTGCTGGGAGCCTTTGGCCCGGTTCTGCAGACAAGGCTTTAGGTTTACAGAGGAGAGGGTGTTTCCCTTGACTGTATTCCGTCTTCTGCTGCTGTTGCTGTGCCTCAGATGGGAGTACTGTTTGGTGTAAGCACATTGTTCACTTATTGACCTAGACACGAAGGGTGCATGTGGCTTTGGGCTCTTTGATCTGGGGAAAGCAGCTTCTCTCCGTGTCACAGTCTCCCCAATTAAAAATAGTTGAACACACTGAAAAAAATCCATGGATTAGAAGTTCTGGGGCGTAATTACCACAGGACAGCATTCTGGTACCATTTCTGGCCTTTTTATTGTTATGTTCAGTCCTTACTTGGGGCCAAATTAAATAACATTAAAATCCTAATGATAGGAAGATAAATATGAACAAACATTTTTCATGGTTACTGGAGTTAGGAACTTTGTGGTCTGTCTTCATTTCCCAATTTTTGATTTAAAAAATATATAGTATTGTACAAGATCCTGTTGATGGTTATGTATGTTTGTGTATAAGGTTTGTGTTATACATATATGTGTATTTTATGAGTATATATAAATATACTTTTAAAATTTTGTGTGTATGGGTATTTTGCTTGTATGACTATCTGTGCACCCAGTCCAGGCAGTCCCTGCTGTGGCCAGAAGAAGGTGCTGGATGACCTAGGACTGGAGTTACAGATGGTTGTGAGCTGCCCTGTGGGTGCTGGGAACTGAGTCTGGAAATAGACAACATTGGATTAAGGGTTCTGAGGAGCTGACTAAAGGGAGCGAGCGGTCTGCCTCACAGGAGACACAGTGAAGAGTGGGGGCGGAGAAATGTCTGGTTGATTGACGTGCTGTTACTTCAGGCTCATTTTGGGTAAAGATTGAAGTTATTGTTAATATCGTTGTTATTATTATTAATGCCTACTGGCACCAGCCTTGGTGAGAACTTGGCCCATGAGCTCTCTGCTGATCTGTTGGAAGGTCAGACCACTCAGCACAGCTCAGTGATCTGGAACTTGTCTGTGGTGTTCAAACTGCTCTGTTGGTGCCAGGGCAGGAGCCTGTTCCAAGGCAATGGCCTCTTGTGGCTTACATTTGCACCCGTGCTCCTTGGTTGTTGCTCCAGGTCTGGCCTCTGCCCAGAGTTTTGACAAAATGGTGCTGCAATTCACTTGGTCTCCTTCATGGTGACATTACATGCTCCGGGTTTCCAAAAGCCATGTTTTGATCTTCTTCCTACTGTATTTCTGCATTGTGTTGTAGTAATTGGTGTTCCTAACCTTCCACTCAATCATTCTGGACTTCCATTGAGCAGATGTTTAATAGCTGACAAAATAGCTGAGGCAAACAGCCTATGAGGAGGAAGGGCTTGTTCTGATGCTGGTTTCAGAGTTTGGTGGTCGTGGCTCCAGAGTTTGGTGGTCGTGGCTCCAGAGTTTGGTGGTCGTGGCTCCAGAGTTTGGTGGTCGTGGCTCCAGAGTTTGGTGGTCGTGGCTCCAGAGTTTGGTGGTTGTGGCTCCAGAGTTTGGTGGTCGTGGCTTTACTACACAACAGCAAGGCCTTGAAGGGAACAGGGGAGATTGTGATGGAGCAGAGTGTGCATCATGTCATCTAGGGAGCAGAAAAGAGCAAGAAAGGAGAGGCGGGGAGTTCAATATACTCTTCAAGGGCACATCCCCAATGACCCAACGTCCTTCTATATACCCTGCCTCCTAAAGGTTCTCTCACCTTCCCATTGAACCTCCAGCTTCAGCATAAGCTGTTGGAGGACTCAGGTTCGAAGCCATAGCATGCCCTTACCTCTTCTTCCTGAGCCCAGCTTGTGAGTCATGCCAGTGCCAACCTAGAACCGCCCACTTCTTGCCCATTGTTAAGATGTTCAGGGAATTACAGAAACTTCCTTTTTAATTCATTTAGACTTTGAGGAACACCCACAAGTCGCAGCAAGTTTCATGACTCAGGATGATCATAAAAATCTATATAACTCACATTTAGTTGAATATAAAATGTAAGTAAAACAAGACATCATTTTTTTTGGCATGGTCCATAAATGACCCTGAAAGGCAATTCTAAAATAATCATTTCAAAAATGATTTGTTCTGGAGTTAGTGGAATGAATATTTAATTGATCAAACTTTCACTTCCTAGGAGGTTGACTTGCTTTTATAGGTCTGGATTATTGCTTGAATTGGTGTTGATTCTTTATGGTCCCATTTATATTAAGACTTCATGGAAAACACGATGATATGTTTACAGCCTTGTAACACCAACAAAATACTGACTCTGGAGCTGAACTGTCTGAAGTCAGTACTGACGGCCTTTGTGATTATAGGCACATTCACACTCCCTGTGTCTCAATTTCTTCATTTGTAAAATGGAAGGATGAGAGTGTCTACCCCAGGATTTCTGGGTAGGATCTAATGAGATCTTGTACTTAAAAGCCTTGCAGAGGGAGCCAGACCCCTCCAGGAGTGGTGGGTTCATGTGACACATGATACTCACTAGAAGCCCCAGGGAACTTGGGGCACAAATAGAACATTTGCATTGGAAAGGTTAAGGACATTGCAAGGTTTCAGGAACTGCTCCAGTCATCTATGAAAATGATATTCAAAGGGAATGTGTATTAATTATCTACAGAGTGAGAGAAATACCCAACAATTACCTTCAGTGTTTAAATGAGAAAGATCTCTTCTACTGACTGACAGAAAGCAGCTTCCAATGGCTTACAGATAGGGTGGAGAAGTGCTCAGCTGGTATGCATGAGGAGCTGAGTTCAGACACCCAGTACTCATGTGTACAGCTAGGCACCATAGCAATGAGGAACTGAGTTCAGACACCCAGTACTCATGTGTACAGCTAGGCACCATAGCAATGAGGAACTGAGTTCAGACACCCAGTACTCATGTATACAGCTAGGCACCATAGTACATCACTGCAGTCCTAGTGCCGAGTGGATACAGCAGGTTCCCTGGAGGTTTCTGGCCAGCCAGCCTGGCCAAATTGGTGAGCTCTACACCTACTGAGAGATCCTGTCCTCACAAATGAGATGGAGAACAGTAGAGGCCCACCTGATGTTGACCTTCGACCTCCACACATACGTTCATACATATACACATGAAAATAAATTCTTTATAATGGGATTGTTGGTTTTTAAATGCCCAGTTTCAAATACAGTGAAATTGAAATCTGTGCCCATAAAGCACCAGTTTTGACCTGGTAATGTGCAGAAGTATAGGTTAATAAAAACTGCTATTGTAGGGCTGGGATTCCGTGCAGTAAGAGAAAGCCTTCTGGAATGCAGAGCCCTATTTATGTGTCTACAGGAAGATAGCCTTTGTATTATTTCTACTGCCCACTGCCCTGCGGGTCACATTAATTTACATGCATGTGTGGTTTAAAGGTATCTCAAGGAATTTCACTTCCTCAATGCCACTGTCAACATTTCTTCTCCTTGGCACAACCATGCATTCATTGAAGATAGGGATTACCCAACAAATGTGAGTGATTGATTGATTGTGTGTGTGTGGTGTTTCAAGACAGAGTTTCTCTGTGTAGCCCTGGCTGTCCTGGAACTTGCTCTGTAGACCACGCTGGCCTTGAACTCAGAGATCTGCCTGCCTTGTCTCCCCTAGTGCTGGGATTAAAGGCGTGACCACCACTGCCCAGCTGAATGACTGAGTCTTATGCATGGATTATTTGTGCTTTTCAAATGTAGACATACCTTCCTGGAATGTGGCTAATTACTGTCAACACAGGACTATGAAAGACACAAGCACAAATGGACAGAGTAACTTCAAAGTCTCATCCCTAGAGAAGGGGAAGAGACATTAACCCTTTCATTCTCTTCCCCGCAGTTGGCCCGCCACAATAAACTACTACAGCAGATGCTCAAACCTGGATCCGATCCTGAAGAAGGGGACGAAGCCTTGAAGTATTACGCCAATCACACCGCACAGATCGAGGTATCTGCTTGTTATTTCTAGAATGGGTCCAACTGTGAAAGAATGAGTTTGCTTATATCTGAGGCCATTTCCATGACTTTTCTCAGAACTGTGAAATAGTACTTGATGATTTAAGTGGAAAAGTCTGTCTGACAAGCTGATGCCTAAGAGACACGTGCAGAAACCAGGTGTCCATCTGGTGAAGTCTTTTCTCTCACCAGAACTCGTCTGATGTTTTTGAAATGGAGAAAGTAAATTTTTTCTCTCATTTGGGTCACAGAAGCGATCGGGGAGAGCAGTCACATTTTAGAGACAACATAATTATTAGAGAACCTGTGCCTTAAACCTGTGGAGGATTCTTATGATCGAGATGATGACTTAACAGAGTATTTGAAGCCAGGTCTGGTGGTGCATGTCTTTACTCCCAGCACTTAGGAGACAGGGGCAATCAGATCTCTGTAAGTTCCAGGTCAGTCTGGTTTAGCAAGTTCCAGGCCAGCCAGAGCTACATAGTGCCGAAAAGTAAAAGTATGTGAAAGCTTAGAGAACATGGGCAGCACTAACAGAATTTTCATATTGGTATCATATACTCAAAAGAGTTAGCTGTTTGCACTTTGATTGCCTGACGGCTACCCTCTCCCTGCCCCACAAATGAGACTTTACCTAATGTTGGATGGCAGATCAGGAGGTGTTCCAGGGACCCATCTGGCTGTCACTTCTAGCTGGGATATCTTTTGATGCTTCTTGGCAGAACTAATCAGGGAGAAGGGAGTAGAGTGGTGGATGCTTGTCACTCCTGACTTACGACAGCACATCCATTCATTCTGGTAGATGGTTTTGTTTTTAGCAGAATATATCAGAGGCAGCATTGCTCTATGGTGGGTAATTTCTATGCTTTATTATTTATTTTTGCCAAATCTTTGAGCATTATTAAGCAATATCACTTCATGTCAAAAGTTGACCTTGTGCTCACATATGTAAACAGCAACATGCCGCAGCAGCTTGTGGCAGATTAGGCTGGCCAGAACCCATGTGTTGATGAGAATGATAGCTTGTGATCAGTTTAAGGACCCTGGGAAATGAGAAGGGGCTTACGCCTAATCACCATCCAAGAAAGAATTCCCCGTGGTCCAAATCTCACTTTCATCTCCTCTCACGAGTCTTCAGCTCCTCTCAGGAGTCTCCCTTCTTCAAAAGAAAGCACATTCAATTGTAATCAGTTGGTCACTGGAAAGACTATATATCTGTGAAGAGGTCATAGTAGACCATTGTAATTTTCCACCATTCCCAGTGTTTGCTCCCCTCAGGGTGGTAGGCCCAAGGCTGACCTTGTTCACAGAGGCAGGCTTGCTCAGTCGAACCCAGAGTCCACTAATACAGCCAGTCTTGCTGAATAGTCTGCTCTGAGGACCCCCTGGCTCTGCCTTCTGAGGCTGGAATTACAGGGAGGCTGGCACACCCACCCGGCACTTAGTGGGTTTGTGGAGATCCGAGCTCTGGCCTCACATTTGCATGGCAAGTGCCTTAACCATCATGCCATCTCCTCAGTCCTTGATGCTAACATTTAAATAACATCATGACTCTAAATCCAATTCCTTCTATATTGGGATCCTCATGTTTTCTTCACTTTCAGTACCACAGTGCTCCCAGCTAATGACTGAGTAAGCATTTGTTGAATAATCTGAGGGAAAATTAACCATATTTGGCTTCCTTCAGTTAATGCATTTCCTTCAGCAGTTTCTCTGGTTTGTCATCGCTCTTTGTAAAATGTGACAACCAGAATTAAACATGTCATTTTATGCAGGGACTGAATATTTTGGCTTATCTAATCACAGCTTTTTTCTTTAGTAAGCCCTAAGAATTTTTTAAAAATTCTTGACACTGTTGGAGCAAGTAAACCTTTTAAAATTCTTTTCATGTGGTTGCCTACCATACCAAATATATCTAAGTAGTTAGTACAATTGTTATTCTAACTGTTTTTTTAAAGTTAGCACATAAAGGGGCTGAGAGATGACCCAGTAGTTAAGAGCACTGGCTGCTGCCACAGAGGCCTGTATTTAGGTCCCAGCACCCACGGGGCCGCTCACAGCCATCCATATCTCCAGTTCCAGGATCAAAACCAGCTTAGGGGGGGAGATAGTTTGTTTTGGCTCAAGGTTCTAGAGGGAGAGTCCGTCAGTCAGGGAGGCATGGCACTGTGGCAGGAGCATGATGCTGGCTGGTCAGATTTTATTCATATGCAGGAGGGTTGGGGAGAGAAAGCAAGGCTATAAAACCCCAAAGCCACCCCCAGTGACACACTTCTCCAGCATGGCTGCACCTCCAAAAAATTCCACAACCTCCCCAAACTGCCACCAACTGGGGACCAAGTGTTCAAATACACAAGCCCATGAGGGGCATGGCTCATTCAAAACACCCCACTGTATGTTGCTAGAGTTTTCCTGCCTGGCCCACAGTCAGGACAAATCTCTCTCACCTGCCAGTCCCACAGCTGTCAGACCCGACCAAGTAAACACAGAGACTTGTATTGGTTTCAAACTGTATGGCCATGGCAGGCTTCTTGCTAACTGTTCTTACAGCTTAAATTAATCCATTTTTATAAATCTATACCTTGCCACATGGCTCGTGGCTTACCGGCATCTTCACATGCTGTTTCTCATCGTGGCAGCTGGCAGTGTCTCTCTGACTCAGCCTTCTACTTCCCAGCTTTATTCTCCTCCTTGTCCCGCCTACACTTCCTGCCTAGCCAATGGCCAATCAGTGTTTTATTTATTGACTAATTAGCAACACATTTGCCATACAGAACATCCCACAGCACTTCCCCCCCCCTTTTTTTTTTTTTTTTAAAAAAAGGAAGGTTTTAACCTTAACAAAGTAAAATTACATATAATTTGGGAATTTGGGCGTAGCTTCTCTTACTACTTCCTGCTGGAGGGGGGGCGCTGTATCTTATGGGGAAACAAAGAAAATTTTAGGATTATGGAATAGTCCATGAGGCTGTATTGTCTGAGCCAGTTGCTTTCAAACCGTTCTGGATGTTGGATCATCTGGGCCATGGTGTCATCGGAGACCTTTCAGGGGGTCTTGGCTGGTCAAACCTGATGTATCTTAATCTGCAACAAATCCATAGCCTCTGGCTTTCTGTGGGAACATAAGCAGAGTCTCCTTTCCAAAGTAACATATCCTTATATTCAAATTTTGAAGTCAAGGTACCTTTAAAATATACATTTTGGTTTAACTCAACAGTTTTTACAATCAAATGTTTTTCTGCAGTTAAAAATCCCAAAGACAACACAATGCAGATTCTCTGTGTAATATCCATTTTTACATGGCTTATATTTTATACTACCTTTACTGTCTCTTTAAAGACTTTATTTTTTAAAACTATGTATTTGTTTCTATAACTCTATATATCACCTTTTTTGTCTCTTTTAAGCCTACGTATATTTTACACATATTGTAAACTATTACATCTGAATCTGTCTTATTGTGAATCTATTGCCTTAAACTGCAGCAGCTGTGGCTGCTGGCTCCGCCCACCTCAGCTTCCCAACATGGCTGTGGTTTACCGCCAGCTCTGGGAGCTATCGTGGGTCTATGCTTTTATCCAAGCAGCAAGTAGCCCAGAAACCTCTTTGTTTTGTACCTGCAAAGGCTAAATCCACCATGTAGCTTAATGTGCCACTTGCAGAGGCCTCATTCCCGCCATACTGCAGGTCGAGCACGCACTCTAGGAACCCACCAGTAGCTCAAACAGGCAGCTGCCGCTCATTTGAGAGAGACAATTAGGAAGCTGTTTTTAGCTCCATTTTAGAATCTTTTTTCTCAGTTTTTAGGTGGAAACTCTTGCCACCACGTTGGACGCCACACTGTAGGTAGGAAACACTGTAGAGATAAAATGCCTCTCTGTATATAGAGAACTCAGGACACACAGTGCTACCAAGTGTGTTACCTGTCTCCCAGAGCCCCTCTTAGGGAGAACAGGGCACAAATTCTTAAGAACTAGGTTCAAGGTCACTCAGCTGATTCATTTTTTCATAATTGGATTATTATCATTCATAAACTCATTGTCCTAGTTTCGTGTCTGTTCCCATGATAAAACAGTCTTGCCACAACCGACCTGGGGAGGAAAGGATTTATTTGGTTTCCATCTGCAGGTCATAGTATAGCAATGGGAGACATTACAGCAGGGACCTGAACTAGATGCTGTGAAAGAATGCTGTCTGCGGGCTCCCCTGGGCTTATGCTTAGCTAGTGTTCTCACACATTCCAAGACCACCTGCCTAGGGATGGTGCTGGCATGGTGGGCTTGATCCTCCTACATCAATTAATAATCAAGAGGCCCACAGGCCAGTCAGATGGAGGGGGTTCCTCAACAGAGCCTTCCTTCCAGATGACTCTGGGCTGTGTCAAATTGGCAATTAGAGGTAACTAGGAACCTTATCCTAAAACCAAAAATTAGGGAGGTGTGGAATCCAGTTGTATATCCACTAGTGAGCCCACCAGGTGCTTCTGGATAGTTCAAAACTGGAAGTCACGCAGAGGGCTCTACTCAAAATCTGTGGGGAACAAACCCAAACCAGAGAGTGATGAAAACAGGCATTCTTCCTGTAATGAAGAAGCAGGCATCAGGGGCAGAAGGGAAATAATGGGGTGGCAGTGGTGGTGCCCAAAATGTATTATATGCATGTATGAAATTGTCAAAGAACAAAATGTAGTCGTTAAGAAAAAGGAAGTTCAAAATCGAGTCCAAGACTGAGGTGTGCCAATGGCTGAAAACAAATGCCGATCATTTCCAGATTGTGCGGCAGGACAGGACGATGGAGCAGATTGTCTTTCCCGTCCCCAATATCTGTGAGTTCCTCACTCGGGAGTCCAAGTACCGTGTGTTCAACACCACAGAGAGGGATGAGCAGGGAAGCAAGGTGAACGACTTCTTCCAGCAAACAGAGGACCTCTACAACGAGATGAAATGGCAGAAGAAGATCAGAAGTGAGTGCGAGGTGCAGAGCCCCGCCCAGCTTATCTAAATAATGATTTGGATTTCGCGTCAGTTTAATGTCCTTGAAATCACTTGCAGGCTGAAGAGTGTAAGCCCTGCTGTCGCTGGAGCTGAGCCGTCTACAGCTCCGTGGATGTAGAAAACCCAGGTTAATTAGATGGCCTGCAGCTGCTGAGCCTGCTCTTTAATGTGTTATGAACTGCAAGGCTGCAGCTGCACTGTTGTGCTGCTGGATGGCTGCAGGTGTGAAGCCCTGCACTGAATGCTTGCCCTCAACAGTCAGTGCATGGCCTGGGGCAACATCTGCATCAGTGCCTCTCACTCAGTGTCCTGTGGTTAGATAGGTTTCCCTTCCCCTCCCCTCCCCCTCTCTACTCCCCTCTCCCCTCCCCTCCCCCTCCCCCTCTCCCCTCTCTTCCCCTTCTCCCCTCCCCCTCCCCCTCTCCCCTCTCTTCCCCTTCTCCCCTCCCCCTCTCCCTTCCCCTCCCCTCTCCCCTCCTCTCCATCTGTGACTCTGTGTGAGTCTTCAGATTCACCATGGTGAATCTGAAGTTTGAAATATTTTTTAATTTTAAACTTTTAAATCATATTAGGTTGTTTTCTTAAATAACAAAAATTGAGGGGGGATTGAGGACCTCTTGATATTAGATCTTTCTTGTCTCTGGAGGCTTTCCCAGACAGTCAGGCATGTGTGTTACCTATACTTTACCATTCAATTTTCGAGGCTCTTTACTGAAACAGTTAGGAGTGTGAGCAGAGCTGGGCAAGGCTCCTTTGGGTTTAAGATGATGTCATGCAGGTTTAGTTTTCTAAGACACTTTTGCGCTTTAGAATTTTACCACATAGAACTCAGAAAAAAAAATTGGGCATCTAATATATATGGAATATTAAAAGTTTTTATGAGATATTTGAAAAACATTAATTTTTCTTCAGGTAAAATTAATTGAATAACAAACTCAAATTAATTCAAAGTTAATTTGATAACAAACTGTGACTCTGGGATCTGTGTTTTATGACAAATATTTTTTTAATAAAAAACAAACCTTAAAATAATTCCCAGTGGACATTTGTATTTTAAATTTTATAATCAAACACATCTTTGTATCATTAAACGTTCCAGAGCATAAACAAAAGTAACACACCTTGAGGTAATATTCTACAACATTCAGGTAACTGTGAGTGTATGAGCATTTCCAGTGGGGGCACACCTGGGTCTGCAGTCCTGACTTTTCTGGCTTTACATCATAGGATAAGATCAGTTTGCCCATTAGTATTACCAACTCCTACAGCACGTACATGCATATGCCCTTCGGTAAAAGGGGCCCCAGGCCCACTAGCTGCCTTCTCCCTAATCTGCATGGGCCAGATTCAAGGGATTTACTGCAGAATCACCTTTGCCAACACTATTGAAGGATGGAAAAGGAACATGGTAGAAAATGCCTTCCCCATCTGGAGTCTTACAATAAGCTTTCCAAAACTAGACAAGTCACTTCAGATGCGCCTCTGTGGCATTCACAGACACGTCGCACACACTCTTAGCTTAGCGGGGCTCGTGTGGACCGTGGCATATGTTGACCATTCTCACCCTTTACTTGTTGCTTCCTAGACAACCCCGCCCTGTTCTGGTTCTCCAGGCACATCTCCCTCTGGGGCAGCATCTCCTTCAACCTGGCCGTGTTCATCAACCTGGCTGTGGCTCTCTTCTATCCATTTGGGGATGATGGTGATGAAGGCAAGTGATTCTGTTTCTGCACGTGATGACACCTGAGAAAGTCCAGATTCCATTCACCAACTCTCTGCAGCTTTAAAACCAAGACACGTAGTTCTCATTAAATAGTTTCTATATTTATTGCACGTATAGACATATTAAGTAGAGTAGACAGAAAACCGGCCAGTAGAAGTGCTGTTTTACAGAAAGCTCATATATAGCACAACTATTAGAGGTAAATACTGGAAAATGAAATGGCATGCTTGTGTTTCAACCTAACTGGTGTGGCGGAACGTGTTTTATATTGTCTTATCTCAATGATGTGAGTCTTATGCCCAAGCATTTTGATGAAATAGTAACAATTGCATTTTACTTTCTGTCTTGTCTGAGGGTTTTGTAATGAAGATATCTAAAATATACATTTTGATTCTATAATACTGTGTATTTATAATATTCATAATCTTAGTCTTAGAAATACACAGCATAAGACAGACTGTAATGGTGGATAATGAAGGATATTGACTATGAAATTGGTGTTGTTAAATTGGTAATGCATGAGTTTTTACAAAGGCCAAGATGGGGGAAATTCGATGTGAAGTGGGAAATTCCATAGAAATCGGGTGGGCCTTTCAGAAACATTTTGTTTAGGTTTGGCAAATTGCTTTGGAAAAATTGGTTACAGGTGTGGGATACATGTGAGAGTCACTTTAGAATGAGTTGGAGACCAAGATGAGAGAAATCAGCAAATAATAACCTCCGAGCACCCTCAGAGCACATTTGCTTGTAGGATGCTAGGTTGATGAGATGCTGTCAGCAGGGCACGTAGAATGGTGTCCTGACTGTTTAACAAAGAGTAGTTGTTACAAGGTAAATATTGTCACTGCAATCGAGGGCCGGGGCATAAGAGATGGTACCATAGCAGCAACAGACAGGAAGCAAATTTCAGATGAACTGGAGGCAAAGAGAAGAGATGGAGCCCGAGAGCAGCTTGTTTTCCTGTTCCTACGTCAGGGCCCACAGGTGTCAACGTCTTGTGTTGGCTTCGTCTTGGCTGCGGTTTGCGCTGGCACAGGCAGAGCTTGCTGTGTCTCGGAAAGCTCATCTGAGGCGGGATCTCAGACAGCAGGGCAGATGTGTGACTGCACAGCAGGAGAAAGGCAGCAAGCACACGTACGTCCACCGTGTGGGTGGAAGTGAGAACACCTTTCTCTCCCCTGGTCTGGGCTTCTCTGGTAATGAGACCTTGATACAGAGGGTGATACAAGACACTACTCTTGAGAGGAGAAGCTCCATCATAAAATGATAAATTCATGTCACCTGCACTCAGACCACTGGCGATACATGACAGAGTCCCAGTAAAGAGAGGCATAGAATCTTCCAGGTGGAGGCAGATCTGGAAATTGTCTAACACCATGCTTTCATTTGACTGACAAACAAGGAAAGCCCAGAGGAGACTGTCAGCCTCTGAAGGAAGCAGAGCCCCGGGCTTCATGGAGCCTGGCGACTGGGACAGATGCAGACACCACTCTTGAAAAGGCCTTCTGAGTCAATGGTAGTAGCAAGATGGATGTTCAGTCTTAGGCTATTAGAGTGTGGGTGTGCTTCCTAGAGGGAAGGCAGAGCATGAGAATGTGGGCAGTATAGAACCCCATGATGAGCCTGAGTCACACGATTACAGTTTGGGTGAGTTATCTCCTGACAACTTATGAATAAGGTTAAAGTCTTGATGGAGGTTAGTGCAATCTCAGCCTCAGCCATACACTGTGCATAGCTGGGAAGACTGAGGATATAGCACCACTTGGTAGATGCTCGTGGTTGTAAGATGGTCCAGGGAAGGAAACTGCTGAGTGATGGTGACAGTTCTCTATGCTGGAGTTTTTCAGTCAGGCTGAGCAACTGCTCTCCAGGCTTACTCTGAAATGGTCTGAAGATGGGTTGCATGAAAATGAAAATTATTCTAGGAAGTGCCTTGAAATGATGGGAACATACAAAATGATAGGGTCCAACTAGAAAGGTCTCCCAGCAGACAGGTCTGAGAAATTTTTGAGAAAAAATAATTGTCAACAGCAATACACTATAAGACACAGAACAAAACTAAGCCAAGGTCTGCAGGAAGAGTAAGAAGAGGGTGCTCTGTATGCTGGTGTCCAGTTAAGTGAGTTTAGAGTGATAGAAATTGCTTGTCACCATTTGGCCAGTTGTAGTCCTCAATGGATACTAAAAGGAAGGGGTAGCTATGAAGAAAAACACAAACATATCACGTTTTCAGTATCTACCCTTCATATACTTAACTAGTTACAGAGGGGAAAGGAGTAACTGTACCACAGAGAAGCCACTAAGTAATCATGAGTGAGACACAGCCACATCATGTGCCTCCTGTCACAATGGCCTGAGAAGAACATGTGGCAATGGACAGACGGGAATGAATGGAAGAAAATTTAGAACACCCCGAAGGAGAGACGTTGTACAAAGTGGCTGGCCAGTGCTCCACACGGCTACCAAGCTTACCAAAGACGAAGATTAGGAACTGTTCAAATGAAAAGACAGAGGGGTGGAGTAGATGACAGACAGTATTATTCCTGGTGTTAACTACCATGGTCCTCATCGTGCAAAGTTTTGATATTCAGATCTAGATGAAGGGTCTGCAGGATGGTTTTTCCATTATTTTTGCAACTATTGCTTGAGTCTTAAGGAGCTTTGAAGTAAAATTTAAAAAATGAAAAAGGGTTCTACCTATTCCTATGGTGGCATCATTTTGGACAGGGAAGGCAATCGTGAAATCACCTGGAAATTTCAGGCCAGAGATCGACCTCTGTTAACATGGGCCATACTTTCCCACCCTGGACCCTACTACAAGCCACTTTAGAGTCACAGAGCCATCATGGCAAGGGGCCAGCAGAGGCACGGGCTGTTCTTCCTTCAGGTACAGTGAATGGTGAGGTGTCCCTGGGCTCTTAGGAGTGTCTTGTGCTCAACGGTCTTGCTCACATGTGGGTTACAACGTTAGTTTAGAGAACAACATCCATCACTTGGGATGATGGCACAAAGGGATTCAAGGGAGATGTTGCCTCTCTGACGAGCACCCCGAGAGACAGCATCCACCTTGACTTCAGATGGAGACTCCCCTTTAACTGCCAGGCCTTTGTGGAGTCTGTTGATGCTAGGGCCTTCTCCAGCCATGCCAACTGACCTGACCCAGAAGACTAGTCAGTGAAGAATGTTTTTATCCCAAGATAGAATGTCATTTTAAAATATAGAGGGAGGTTTTTTTCTTTCACAATTTGAGTATAATTCTTCCTCACAGTCATTTTTGCTAAGGAAAGTAAGATTCTTCAAGGTGACTTCAATTCATTCAGTTTCACAAGCATTGATGGATACCACTGTGTGCTAGGGACCATGCTAGGCTGGGAGATGCTAAGATTAGTAAGCTGTTTCATCCTCAAGGATCTCATGATCTAGTTAAAGGACCAAGAAATGAGAAAAGCACAAGACCAAGGAGCAGCAAGGAATTTATGGACGAATGTCGACTTTGTCTGGACCTGGGTGTAGCTACCAGAGTCGAATGAGTCTGCACTGGAAGCCCAGGCCCAGAGGAGGATGAGGAGTGAGAAACAGCTGTGTTGGACAAGAAGCCATGAACAAATCAACCTGAGGCAGGGCTCTGAGACAAGAGTAGAACTGACTGTCTGAATTTTCTTTTACAAAAGACCTAAGATCTAAGATCTTGGAAAGTATACAGGAATTCCTAAAAAATACCTTCCCATTAAATATAATACAGGCTTATTATGAAAAATTAATAGAAACATGCAGAATATTAAGAGAAAGAGTTCCCACTTGGTGGGTAAGGATTGGCTATAGTGCTTTGTACTGCTTGGGTTTTGGTTATTTGTTTGTTTGAGAGACAGGGTCTCACTGAGTAGCCCAGGTTGACCTAGAATTCACTATGTAGTGCAGGCCAGCCTTGAACTCACAGCAGTCCTCCTGCTTCAGCTTCCTAAGTGTTTGGATACAGGCATGAGTCACCACACTGCTGAGAGCACCTGTCTCTGGAGTGCCGAGAGTTTTTATTGTTTTTCCAAAGCATGAATCATCAGGTCAGAGCTAACCTGATGGTTCTCACAGATGCTTACAGACTTCATCATCAGTTAACCACATTAAATAACTAACTGTTCATCTTCTTTTCTCATTCCACACAGATGAACCTAGCAGTAAGCTGCGTGCAAGGTCTCATGCTAGACAGTTCACAAGTTACTTGTAAAATTGACAAAACACCCAGAATTAGGTGCATGGCTGCACTTTCTGGTATATCAAAGGGAGAGCCCAGGAAGCTACCCATCTGAGGCAGAGTAAAGGTGATTAAATCATCTGGCACTGGTGACAATATTTGTCACCAGTATTTGTGCCAAATCTCAGCCTTCCAGAATATCATACCAGACTTTATTTATGAATCAGCTTGATGAGTCACATGATGGGCAGAACATTATGAAATGTTCCATGAAGATGTTGCTAATTTTAATGCATACTTAAAAGCAAAGCTAGGGGATGCTGGAGAGACATCTTAGCAATTAAGAGAATGCTTTGCTGTTATCTGAGCAGAGTTTGGGTCTTAGCACCACATAGAGTGGTACACAAATGCCTATAACCCACCCCAAGGAATCCAACATCTCCTTCTGGCCTCAGTCAGCCTACGTACACACGCGCGCGCGCGCGCACACACACACACACACACACACACACACACACACACACACACACACTTGTGCACATATATGAAGAACATATATAAAATAATTTTTTTAAAGAACAAAGCTGGGGGCTGAGCAAACGGCTTGGTCAGCAGAGGGACTGCCACACAAGGATGAGGACCTGACTTTGGATGTCCAGAGCCCATGTAGAAAGTCAGATGCATCTGTACCACCTGGGGATTAATAAATACTTAGTTACTTGCTCAGTATGAACTCCCTGAGCATATTTTGTCTACTTGATAAACAAGTATTGATATATTGCTGCAAGACACACTAGGGCTGCTCTGCACCCTTGTAGAGTTTGTGCTTTAATGGAGACTTGAGAGTCTACACACACAGTGGAATGTCAAAGGCTCGCTCCCTGTACCGATCTGGGAGAGCTGTCAAATCAAGGCAGATGGTGACTGGGCTTGCTGTTGCTAGGCAGAGCATAGATAAGCCAATATCAAAATAAATGCAAGGAGGCTATCCATTTTGATGATGAGGAAGATGAGCTCTCTCTTCCCAGTCGTTAAAAAATCATTTACATTTTTATTTATTTATTTATTTCATGTGTGTGGATGTTTTGCCTGCATGTATGTTCATGCACCATGTACATAGCTGGTGCCTGTGGAGGCCAGAGGAGCATGTTGGATACCCTAGGACTAGACTTACAGACAGCTGTGAGCCACTGTGGCATTGCTGGGAATTGATCTCCTAGGACTAGAGTTACAGACAGTTGTGAGCCACTGTGGCATTGCTGGGAATTGAATCTGGGTCCTCTGGAAGAGCAGCAAGTGCTCTTAACTATTGAGCCAGCTCTCCAGCTCCATGACCTTCTTTTAATCACTGTTTATTTGGAAGCTGTTATAGCATCAAAAATATTGCTATAATAAAATGCCTGATTCTGGGTATTTCATAAGGCAAATGTTTATTTAGTTCCCTGTTTTGGAAACTGGGAGTCCATGATCAGTTATCATGGTCTGTCCAATTCAAGTAGGGACTTTCTTGTCGGGGCCGCCAGCCTCCCAATAATGACACTGAGACTTATTATTAACTATGAAAGCTTGGCCTTTATCTTGGGCTTGTTCCCAACTAGCTCTTATAACTCAAATTAACATGCTTCTATTAATCTATATCCTGCCACTTGGCTTTTACCTCTCTCCCATTCTGTATTTCTGACTTGCTCTGCATCTCACTGGCATCTCCACCTTTCTTCTTCCCAGAGTTCTTCTCTCTCCTTGGAAATCTCGCCTATTCTCCCCTGCCTAGCTATTGACCATTCAGTTCTTTATTAAACCAATCAGAAGGCGCCTTAGGCAGAGACACATCCTTACAGTGTACAAAAAGATTATCCCATAACAATTGACTATCCTGAAATCAGTACACAAGTCTTCTGGAAATGTACTGAAGAGTAATGCATTCTGAAATGTTTCCTTGTAGTAGAGCATTGACTAGGTTGTTCTGAGATTCAGTGCACCATGGCTTTGTTTGCATTTAAGAGTTTAGTGTTTCCTATCTGTGTTTTTGGTGATGAGTAACCCCTCCATCTTTTCCAGGTACACTCTCCCCACTGTTCTCCGTCCTCCTGTGGATAGCAGTGGCCATCTGCACATCTGTGCTGTTTTTCTTCTCCAAACCTGTGGGTATCCGGCCATTCCTTGTGTCTGTCATGCTCAGATCAATATACACCATTGGTTTGGGGCCAACACTCATACTTCTTGGTGCTGCTAATGTAAGTACATTGCTTAACTTAGTATCTAATGGAATTTAGATGTACTAAGTATAAATATAGTTAACTATATGCTTTTATTCATGTTTATACAGTGAATTCTGGTTTGATATGAATATACATTAACTAGAGTATCATTTGTGCATGATTTAATTTAGAGAGAAAAACAAAAATATGAGTAACACATTGATTTAAGTAGCACTTGTGGTGTGACCCAGTTCTGATGTCCATTTCATCAGGTTTAATGTTCTTTCTGTAACAGACCTCCCATTACTCAAAAAAATGACCCAGTCGTTGTTAACATCTGAAAGTGGGTTCTAAATCATCCCAAAAGATTAAATTATGTTCAGTAGAATTTAAGAAGTACTTTCTATCAAATGACTTAGGAGTGGGGGAGAAAAGACTGCTAGACAAAAAATAAGGTCCAAAATTGGGCTCCTTTTATATGAGAAAATCCTATAAACTTATAAAAGGCATGGGTGAGTTTTTTTTTTCCACCAAACTTTAGTATATTAGAGCAAGAGAATGCCTTGTGACATGTTAGTTTTAAATGTAGAATGAACAAGCTGGAAGTATAATGCCAAGAAGCCAATGAAAGATTTGTAGAAGTAATTTAAACAAAAATAAAAATAAAATTTTGAATGGACTCTGTGACACTTTTAGACAAGGTATATCTGTAATGGATATGAAGAAAAGATAAATCATCAAACTGATGAAAAATGGTCAGAAATTTCATAAATGTTATTGTATCTACACAGTCAATATCTAAAGCACTGCCTGTAACTTCCAATGGGTTTCTAACTCAGTGTTCTATATTCTGGTGTCTTAGCTGGGATTATCTCCTATACTACCTTATATAGTTATTGAGAATAGTGATTGATAATTACATACCTGGGACATCACAGGGAGTCTGTAAGTATTTTTAATAAATAACTAATGAGTGAATGATTGGATGAGTGGCCAATATTTATTGGAAATAAATAAATTAGTTAACCAACTTTTAAGGACTACCAAGATGAGACAATATAATCAATTCTGTGTTTTCAGTGTTTCTGACCTTGATTTTATCATAATCTTCAAATGTTGGACAGTATTCCAAAGCTCCCAGTTGATTGAATATTCAAAACACCAAATTCTCAGTTACCACCAGTGAAGGAAAGTGTACAGAAGGAACATTTGTGAGTAGAGGGTTGTGAAAATTACCAAATAACTTCTCTGGGTTTCTTAGGGGCTGAGCTATCACATTAATTCATGAATCCAGTCCTTGCTCATCCCCATCTCCATGTTTCTGTGTGATCTGGCCCTTGTTCTTCCCCATCCCAATGGTGCTATGCAATTCATTCCTTCTAGCTCACTCCCATCTCCATTTCCCTCCATCCCATTCTTGGGATGACCTAAGATTGTACTCTTTGCTTTTAAAATAAGCTAATGTTGTTATATAATCAGCCAAAATAATTAGAGAATCATCATGAATGTGTATAAATTTGTCTACACCTCTGTGTTTGGCTCATTTCATTTCTCAAGAAAACATATTCAGCATGAAATCATATTATTTGAAAAAGTAGATGTTATTCATAAACTGATCATTGACTAAATGAGAAAAATCTAAGTTTAAGAAAGTAAAGAGCCTGGCAGAGTTGTGCCCAAAATAACAAACGTTCTCTGTACCTCTTACATAATATGATAGATGTCTAGAGCACTGAGAGGTAGACGGTGTACAGCTTGCTGTATAGAATTTATGTGTCATTTCCTGTTTCTTTCTATCTGTTTTTTTTTTTTTAATCTTTGGACCAAGAATATGTAGACAGGTAAGGAGTGACATTTGGATATTTGGGTGGAAGTGAACTGAACACATTCTTTTCCTGGCTCTTGGAGGACACTATAAAGTAATAATTTCCACGTGGTTTAGTGAGAATCTTTCCACCATAAAAATACTCTCTACCAAAGCCAAGTTTTTATTTAACTGTTTTATAAGAAAGTATCATGCATATAGACATGTCTGTCTTACTAATTCCATGAATTTTCCAGTGTTCCAATAGCATAAAACATGTTACTCAGCTAGACACTACCACCAGCCTGGGGTCATTTGACCAAAGAAAATCTTTTTAATTACTATAATTTGATACTACTGCAATGTCAGTAGAAAAGTTTATATTTATATATTTATAGTCGTGTTTGCTATCACAGATTAATAAAATTACCTTAGTGAATTACTATGTACTTTCCCTGTTCACATACGTTTATTACACAAGTGTCCTTGTTTATCTTTACTTATGAGACATCAAATAAGAACCTTAATTCTATTTGTGTACCTTAGTATTAATTATATATTATTAATAATACAAATTAATATACTAAATAATTTAATTTGTACATAGACATTTGCATTGTGTAGCAGGTGAGGCTGTCACTGCTGAAATAATAGGTATCAGAATAGAAAAAACAAAAGAAAACATTAGCCTGACAGTTTATCCATAACAAGAAATGGAATTTGAGACTTCAGATATAAATCAGCCAACCTCTGATTTCACCCTTCTTGTCAGTTGGAGTAAGGTGTGGACAACTGGGCTCCCCTCATCTGGCTGCTGAGATCAGTTGAGAATCCTGGTGTGGAAGATCCAGAAAAGAGCAGTAACTATTATATTGATACATTGGTGATAACATCTACCATTTACCAAGTATCTGATATGCAGATCACTAATTAATCAGAAAGTATTGCTGTAGCATGAATCTTTAAAAGTCTTATTAATAGAAAACTCGGGAGCCAGGTATTAGGGTGAATTCTGAAAAGCCAGAAAAGCAGAATAAGCCACAGCTAACCTCACTTCAATAACTTCTCAGCTGATCCTGTTTCCTCAAACTGGAAGCCTCTGAGTCCTCATCCAAATGGATCTCAGCTGAACTGCTGCTAAAAGCTAAAAGCTTAAAAAGACTCTAGTTCCTAGTCCTCACATCTTATATACCTTTCTGCTTCCTGCCATCACTTCCTGGGATTAAAGGCATGAGTCACCATGCCTGGCTGTTTCCATTGTGGCTTTGAACTCACAGAGATCCGGATGGATCTCTGCCTCCAAGTGATAGGATTAAAGGCATGTGTGCCACCATTTTCTGGCCTCTATGTCTAATATAGTGGCTGTTCTGTTCTCTGACCCCAGGTAAGTTTATTGGAGTGCACAATATATCAACCACATATTGCCACTACGATGTGTCTGCATCTTAGCTCACATGGTAGCTTGTCTCTAGACTCTGTTCCTCATAATGTTAAGTAGATATGAAAAGTCTCTTTTATGAGAAAGGAAATATAATAGAAGACTTCAGAATTTATCAGTTTCTAGTTTATTATGATAAAATTGAATTTATTTGTAAAGCTTGAAATTTGTCTACATTCAGCTAGATTTTCCTGTCACAGTTGTCTCAGAAAATTCAGTAATTTTGAGTGCTGCAAAGTACATCTTACACAGTTTTCTTCTCATGCACAGTGTGGCATCTTCAGCTAATGTTGGTATAAATTAACATTCTGAAATATACAGAGGCACATTCTATAAAACTAGGACCACAATGTTTGTTCACATTATTGAACATTTTTGCAAACCTCATTTATACAGATGTAGTATTTCCTGTTTTTAAAGAGATTTCTGATTCATTATATGAATGCTATATCCTCCTTAGCCACTCCATTTATCTTTGTGGCTTAGATTATTTGTAATAAAGAAGAACACAGTACATGTCAGTAAAGATATTCTTTTGATGCTAGGAACTGAACCTTGGACCTCATGCATACTAGGCACGTGCTCTACCACTGAGCCACACTCCCACAGAGTGTGGCTTCCACTTCCACAGAGAGATATCTTTTATCATCTTATAAAGACATCCTGCTTATACTGTTATCTTAGTTAGGGTTTTATTGCTGTAAAGAAACACCATAACCATGGTATCTCTTATAACAGAAAACATTTAATTGGGGCTGGCTTAGAATTCAGAGGTTTAGTCCATTATCATCATGGCAGAAGCATGGTGGCCTGCAGGCAAACATAGTGCTAGAGAAGGAGCTCAGAATTCTACATCTTGGTCCACAGGCAGCAGGAAGTGAATGTCACACTAGACCTGGCTTGAGCATTTGAGACCTCAGAGCCCACCCCTAGTGACACACTTCCTCCAACAAAGCCACACCTACTCCAACAAGGCCATACCCTCACTCCCTGTAAGCCTCTGGGGGCCATTTTTATTCAAACCACCACACTTACCCCCCTTTCTAATAATGTCTGGGAATCTGATAACTTAATGGTGCTAGCCTTTCTCACAGTTATTTTAATGTGAAATGGTAGAATTTGTTCTCCCTACTTTGCACAAAAGAAAAGCAAATAAGGTTTTAGTAGTGAGCTGGGCTGTTACAGTTACCACGGTGCTCAGCTGAATGGGGTGGGGTTCTTAGCTGTGTGTCTGTAGTTACGCAGGTGACCGAACGCCACTGTTAACTTGGAGACTGAGTTCTGCAATGCAGTCACTAAACACCTAAGTGTAGCTAGAGTTTTCCTGCCTGGCCCACAGTCAGGACAAATCTCTATCACCTGCCAGTCCCACAGCCGCTCAGACCCAACCAAGTAAACACAGAGACTTATATTGGTTACAAACTATGGCCATGGCAGGCTTCTTGCTAACTGTTCTTATAACTTAAATTGATCCATTTCCATTAATCTATACCTTGCCATGTGGCTCGTGGCTTACCGGCATCTTCACATGCTGTTTGTCATCGTGGCAGCTGGCAGTATCTCTGACTCAGCCTTCCACTTCCCAGCTTTATTCTCCTCCTTGTCCCACCTACACTTCCTGCCTAGCCAATGGCCAATCAGTGATTTATTTATTGACCAATCAGCAACACACTTGACATACAGAGCATCCCACAGCACCTAAGTTCTGTTACATAGTCTGAGCTGAACTTCCTTTCCTCTGATCTCTTTCAGAGACACATACACAATGTTTTGTTTAATATGGTCACCAGATGCCGCTGTTTCTGGCATACAGTTGTCAAAATACAAAGCTTCTCTGAGGCTGTGCTGAATGTCGTGGGTGCTGCTACTCACACTGCCTGTTTGTTATACTGTTCTGCTGAGAGTTTAAAAGACTTCAGGGTGATATTTGACTGTATGTAAATTTTGATCTATGTAGTGCCCTGAAGATTTTATCCTGCCTAAGGTATAACACCACCTACCTGGAGATTACTGAATTACATCATCTCATTTTTCAGTGAAAAGGTTGATTTCCACGGTTGATGAAAACATGGTGACGATGTTAGAGACCGTGAGTTTACCTGTCAATACATCAGCAGACAGTCTTTTGTTTTTCTACTTCACAATTTATTCTTGGAAAATAGGCCATATTTTCCCATAGTAATAACATGAATGAGGGCTAGATATTCTGCTCAGAGACAGAGTCCTCAATAAGCCCAAAGGACACTCAGCAGTGGTCCCTGGCACAAACGCCTTAAACACAAGGACCATTTCCATCTCTGAACTCTGTGTGAACACATGGAAAAGCCACAGCACCCATCAGCCTCACTCCACTTCCAGATGTCTCCAGAGCAGCAGTTCTCAACCTGTGGGTCACAACTCCTTTGGGAGTCAACTGGCCCTTTCACAGGGGTCACATATCAGATATCCTGTATATCTGATATTTACATTATGATTCATAACAGTAGCAAAACTACAGTTATGAAGTAGCAACAAAAGTAATGTCATGGTTGGGGGTCACTGCCATGAGGAACTGTATTAAAGGGTCACAGCATTAGGAAGGTTGAGAACCACTGCTCTAGAGAACAGAAGCATATGTACCCAGCTATAGGTCAAGGGTCATGCAATGCCATCTTGGCAAACAAGCAAAGCAAATCTCTTTTATTTTTCATGTTAGCATGACCAAGAAATGCATCTTGTCTTTTACACTCTGTAACTAAAATTTATTGATCATTTTGAGAATTTAGTTCAGTCTATTACTCTCCAATGTGCCTGATTTATAGTTTTCCTGTATATATTTTGTAACTCATCCTAGAAAATCAAGAAATGACACTCAATCCATATGTCTGCGTCATATAGCTTACCCTGTGAAGAGGTTTTTAGTTCTATTCTTGTATAACCCCCTTCTGTATCATGTTGATGAGCCTGGGTAGGCATGTCAAGGTTAGTTGGTAAGTTGTGTAATTTTGAACAGGGTCCCTCAAAAGCAATTCAGAGGAATGGCTGGATGTTGCTTTGCCAGACATTCGTCCTCACCCTTGTTCAGCTTGTTGCCGGACACAGGACCTTTGCTGTATGTTCATTGCTTGGGTTTTGAGCAGTTTTCTTTACTATCAGACTCGCTCTTGAGCAGTCACTCTGAAGTCTCCAACATGTCTTAGCTGTTCTGAGTGAGAACGTGAATGGCTGAACAGCAAAATAAGGTTCCTGCTTGACCACTGCTGGCATTGTCGACAAGAGTGTGAAAGGGGTTTGAGATTATTGATTATTGAGAGGATGGACAGCTAGTTGGGGAAATGGAGGAAGAGTCTGCCGTTAGTGGCTGTGTTGCTGGTCTGATTGGACCTTCATAACATGCAATCATTTCCAGGTTTTCATTTTTTCTGTATTGATTCAGACTTCAGGATGTTGATGGAACTCTCTCAAGTTTGATAACATGCATGTGTGTATATGTATGTAATATATATATGTGTGTGTGTATGAGCGTATAATATACATAATCAGTGTTGCAAAGAGCATCCTATTTTCCTGAAGGCACAAATATAAAAATGTACCTAAGGAACATTTGAAGAGTCATTGTAGTGTTGTCATCTGGGTTTCTGAGGGGTCTGTGAGGTAAGACCTCTTTATGGCAGGTTTTCAGAAACCATCAAGACTTCCCATGGCAAGAACTAGGTTGTCCAAGAATAAGGAAAAGCCAGATTTTCACCCCGTCTGTATTGGTGGCAGACTAGGGTCTGTCATTCTCTCTGGAGCTACAAAGGGAGCCAGTTCTGTGTTGGTTTACGTGTGCATTTGTGAACTGCCTGAGAAACAACAGAGGACACCGAGAAAGGAATCCGCAGACTCAGCAGCACTCATTCTTCACAGTCTTCTTCTGTAGACGACCTTGAAGCACTAAGATCCCACTTTCTCCTCCCTTTAGCTATGCAATAAAATCGTGTTCCTGGTGAGTTTTGTGGGAAACCGAGGCACATTCACCCGAGGTTATCGAGCGGTCATCCTGGACATGGCCTTTCTCTACCATGTGGCGTATGTCCTGGTTTGCATGCTTGGTCTCTTTGTTCACGAGTTCTTCTACAGCTTCCTGGTGAGTAGAGACAATTGCTGCTAAGCACATGATGCCCCCTCTTACACCTTAGCCTTTTGGTTGGTTGGTTTTGTTGTTTGTTTTATTTTCTTAGCAAGGCACAAATTACGTTGTTTTTGGAATTTCCTAGGAGAAGTATGGGTTATCATTTTTAATCTTTTCTCTGGGAAGTACATGGGTAATGGAGTTCTATTTGCTGCGAAGCAAGCAACCTCCTGCCCTCTTCTCTTGGCCCAGGCTTCATACGACAAGCTGCTTTGGGTTTTCAGCCAAATAATATTTACTCAATTCATTATCCAACTACGTAGGGGACAAATAAGGATGTATGGTCCTGTGTGCTAAAATCATTATCTTTGGTTTATAGTATCAAATGTTACATTAATCATTACAGTGACATGTAAGCAAAATGAGAAGGAACAAAAGCCACCCTAGCAAAAGGGTAATCTGTTTAAAGTATAGCTTCTTAGCTTATGTCTCCATCGTTAATGATGTCACCATCATTAGTTTATGATGTCACCACCATCTTTAGCTTATGTATGTTACCACCATTAGCTTTTGTCACAACCATTAGCTTATGTCACCACCGTTAGCTTATGTCACCATTGTTAGTTATGATGTCACCACCATCTTTAGCTTACATCACCACTGTTAGCTTGTGTCACCATCGTTAGTATATATCATCATGGCTAAGCTTAGCTATGTATCTTTAAATCTTTAGACAGTTTTTTTTTTCAGATTCTTTTGTTTTTGTTGAGAGATGAATTGCTTCACTGTGTAGCCCAGGCTGGCCCCTAACTCACAATCTTCCCACCTCAGCCTCCTGTGCTGGGGTGGTGCCTGCACATCACTACACCCAACCATACGTCCTTCTTAAAGATGCCCTCGCCCCAAAGGCCATCTTCCTTTCTCCATTTATACTGCTTTATAGTCACGAATGAGGAAAACAGTTGTATAAAAATATACGTTTAAATCTGTGAGTGGTGTTTGAATACAGGCACATGCATGCCACCGTGCACAGGCAGAAGTCGGAGGACCGGCTTGGGTGTCACTCATCACCCACCACCTTGTTTGAGGCAGTTTCTCATTTCATCACTATGAACGCTGTCTACGCTGGCCCCTACTGAGTTAAAATAAAATCTCTTTATGTCACCCTAAGTGGTTAAAAGGTTGAAGACGCCAGAACATTGACAGTCTAGAGGTTGAGTTTGTGACAATTAATTCATCTTTATTGAAGAATATTGACTTTGTTCCTAATAATAGCTGTACTTCCCAAGAGATAAACAGAGAGCAAAGTAGTGAATTTTTTAAGAATTTGACTCATCAAATGCCAGTATCCTAGAGACAGGCTCTGCACAGCAATGACTGGCCAGGCTGTGATTACAGTGCAACCCTTGGTCCACAGCAGACCGGGGCTTTTGAAAGGACACACACACCTAACTGGTCATTCTAGCCCAGCCAAGTTCTGGTTCTCATCTCCACATAAGAACACAACCACAAACCCTGGGTTTTCCAGTTTTGAAGATGGGATTCATTTTTAAACATTTTTGGACATTTCTGAAAATGAATGTGTAGCTAGAGTTTTCCTGCCTGGCCCACAATCAGGACAAATCTTTGTCACCCGCCAGTCCCACAGCTGCTCAGACCCAACCAAGTAAACACAGAGACTTATATTGCTTACAAACTGTATGGCCATGGCAGGCTTCTTGCTAACTGTTCTTATAGCTTAAATTAATCCATTTCTATAAATCTATACCTTGCCACGTGGTTTGTGGCTTACCGGCATCTTCACATTCTGTTTGTCATCATGGTGGCTGGCAGTGTCTCTCTCTCAGCCTTCCACTTCCCAGCTTTATTCTCCTCCTTGTCCCGCCTATACTTCCTGCCTGGCCACTGGCCAATCAGTGATTTATTTATTGACCAATCAGCAACACATTTGCCATACAGACCATCCCACAGCACTTCCCCTTTTCTAATTTTTTTTTTCAAAAAGGAAGGTTTTAACCTTAACAAAGTAAAATTACATATAATTTGGGAATTTGGGCGTAGCTTCTCTTACTCCTTCCTGCTGGAGGGGGGGCGCTGTATCTTATGGGGACACAAAGAAAATTTTAGGATTATGGAATAGTCCATGAGGCTGTATTGTCTGAGCCAGTTGCCTTCAAGCCATTCTGGATGTTGGATCATCTGGGCCTTGGTGTCATCAGAGACCTTTCAGGGGGTCTTGGCTGGTCAAACCTGATGTATCTTAATCTGCAACAAATCCATAGCCTCTTGCTTTCTGTGGAAACAAAAGCAGAGTCTCCTTTCCAAAGCAACACATCCTTACATCCAAATTTTGAAGTCAAGGTATCTTTAAAATATACATCTTGGCATAACTCAACAGCTTTTACAATCAAATGTTTTTCTGCAGTTAAAAATCCCAAGGACAACACAATCCAGATTCTCTGTGTAATATTCATCTTTACATGGCTTATTTTTTATATTAATTTTACTGTCTCCTTAAAGACTTTATTTTTTAAAACTATGTATTTGTTAATATAACTGTATATATCACCTTTTTTGTCTTTTTCAAGTCTACGTATCTTATACACACATTGTAAACTATTACATCTAAATCTGTCTCATTGTGAATCTATTGCTTTAAACTGCAGCAACTGTGGCTGCTGGCTCCACCCACCTCAGCTTCCCAACATGGCGGTGGTACGTTTTCCACCAGCTCTGGGAGCTATTGTGGGTCTATGCTTTTATCCAAGCAGTGTGTAGCCCAGAAACCTCTTTTTTTGTTTTGTACCAGCAAAGGCTAAATCCACCACGCAGCTTAATGTGCCACTTGCAGAGGCCTCATTCCTGCCATACTGCAGGTCGAGTGCACATGCCAGGAACCCACAAGTAGCTCAAACTGCCAGCTGCCGCTCATTTGAGAGAGATAATTAGGAAGCTGTTTTTAGCTCCATTTTAGAATCTTTTCTCAGGTTTTAGGTGGAAACTCTTGCCAACACATTGGGCGCCATTTTTAGCTAGAGTTTTCCTGCCTGGCCCACAGTCAGGACAAATCTTTGTCACCCGCCAGTTCCACAGCTGCTCAGACCCAACCAAGTAAACACAGAGACTTATATTGCTTACAAACTGTATGGCTGTGGCAGGCTTCTTCCTAACTGTTCTTACAGCTTAAATTAATCCATTTCCATTAATCTATACCTTGCCACGTGGTTTGTGGCTTACTGGCATCTTCACATGCTGTTTGTCATCATGGTGGCTGGCAGTGTCTCTCTCTCAGCCTTCCACTTCCTAGCTTTATTCTCCTCCTTGTCCCGCCTATACTTCCTGCCTGGCCACTGGCCAATGAGTGATTTATTTATTGACCAATCAGCAACACACTTGACATAGAGACCATCCCACAGCATGAATGTAACTTTATTTTTGTAACTACTTCTGTATAATAAAACATGTACTTGCTAATTCATAACTTCAGTTTTATAATGTAGCAATGGTTCCCAGCACTGGCTGCAGGTAGCAGACATGTGCTTGAGTTCTGGATTGCTGTGTAGATTTCCTATTAAAGACAGACTGGATAGTAACCCTTTAGAGGGAAGGAACTGGCAAAGCAGTTACCTTTTTTGTTTGTGGTTCTGCTTTCAAAAGTATAAGTATAAAGAAATGCAGATTTGTGTCCTCATTTGCATACTGGTTTAGTAAGGAAGAGTGTCTGCACTGTCCAAATATTTTAAATTCAAACATTTTCTATGGCACCAGACTCATAAAATTGTCCTCTTCATGTTGAGTCCCATAATTGAACAACAAATTTAATGAATTTTTCAACTGCCCCATAAACTACAGGTGCCTAATATTATAAATTTTCTAAATTCAAATGAAAGTGAGTGTCTAAGCCAACATGCACATCACATGCTGCTAGGGCTGTCTTCACTAAAATGATGTCTCCTTGTATTCTAGCTCGGCTGTTTGGGTTCATTTAAAAATGTTATTTGTTTGAAGGTTAATTTTTAATTGTTATTTCTGTAGCTCTTTGATTTGGTGTACAGAGAAGAGACCCTGCTGAACGTCATCAAAAGTGTCACACGGAATGGCCGCTCTATCATCCTGACAGCGGTCTTGGCTCTCATCCTGGTCTACCTGTTCTCCATCATCGGCTTTCTTTTCCTAAAGGATGACTTCACCATGGAAGTGGACAGACTGAAAAACAGAACGCCAGTTACAGGTAGCCATTCCATCCTCTGAGCTCCGCTGGTAGTTCTAACTTGTACACACCTTGTCTGGGGATTTCAGACAAGCAGGGATAGGGGAAAGTTTACTTTCACTCTTTTGAAATGTGGTCTTGTTTACTGCTCCTGTGGCTTGAGGGTGCAATGTCCTCCCAGCCTCATGTGTTGGAACATCTGGTCCCCACATGGTGGCACTGTGGAGCCTTCTGGAGGAAGTGGTGGGCCTTGGGTTGGCTAGTCTAGCCTCGCTTCCTGTCTGCTCTCAGCCTCCTGACTACTAACACAGTGTGACCAGCTGCCTGGGCTGCCGCCATGTCGGGCTGTATCTCTTTGAACCGTTAGCCAAAATAAACTGTCCATTCCTTCCTCAAGTTGCTCGTTGTTAGGTATTTGATCCTCACAATGATTAAAGTAACTAATTCAACTTCTAAGAGTTGAGAATTCGAAGTACTTTAGCCTGTATGCTGTCAGTGTGGGTTGGGAATACACAAGAGACCTCATCTGCGCTCCGTCTCTCAGGGTTTCGTAATGCTGACCATATTGCTGGAGGCCGCCACAGCTTCTCGGCAGGCAATTCCAGGATTCTGTTTTCCTCTTCTTCCCATTTCCTCAAAGAGCAGCGTCCGGCACCTACGCCACCACTCAGCCATTTTCCACATGCATTGTATTATATTCAAAACACTTAAAATGATGAATGCTTGGATTTGGAAATCATCAGATAGTAAGAAGTGTGTTTTGGAAGACATGCTTAGAGGCTGTGGCTAAAGGGCCCCATTCCTCAGCTTGTGACTGCTGCAGAGCCTGAATGATGTTTGCCCTGGGCCACTTACTGAGAGGCCCTGGCATGAGGTCCCATCCTCCCGGGTTACTTTTGTTTGCTCTCTCACCTCTCATACACACTCTTTTGTTGCTGGGTCAAATTCCTTCCTTAACCTTCCCCCAACCCTGCTTTGGTCTGTAGAAACCATGGTTTTATATTGTGATGTTTTCTTGATTCCACTAATTACCATTTATAGAGACAGGGAATCCCAAAAAGACATGATTTCTCCTCAAACCATTGACTTTAAAGCTAAGATTTAATTAGTGGAAACATATGCAGTATTCCTTCTTGCCTTTAACAGACTTTCTTTCTTTCTTTCTTTTCCTTTCTTTCTTTCTTTCTTTCTTTCTTTCTTTCTTTCTTTCTTTCTTTCTTTCTCTCTCTCTCTCTCTCTCTCTCTCTCTCTCTCTCTCTCTCTCTCTCTCTCTCTTCCTTTCTTTAATTTATTTTATTTTACATCCGACCACAGTTTCCCCTCCTTCCCTCCTTTCTACCTCCCTCCCACATCGCATCCACTCCTTCTCTGCTTCTGTTCAGAAAGGGGCAGGCCTCCCATGGGTATCAGCAAAGCATGGCATGTCAAGTTGCTGTAAGGCACTTCGCCCTGTATTTAGGCTGGACAAGGCGACCCAGTATGAGGTGGAGGGGGAGCACTGAAAGAGATGACTGGAAGGGGGTGCTTTGGGGGTCAAGTAGAGCCTGATGCAAGGGAAACTCCCACAAATCTACAAGATAACAGATAATTCTTAATTGTCGAATATATGTGATTTCTTTCATAAGATTATGGACTGACGAAGTGGTGTTCACAGTCATTCATCAGTGAGCCTAAATGCTTTACACAAGTATTAGAAACACTTCTTCACTGGAGACATTCTTGAACACCACACCAAATACTAGTCTTTGTTTTCAGGACCATGAACTATGTGGTTGCATGAAATGTAACAACTTCATATGACTTTTCTAGAGTTTAACAGGCATACTGTCAACTTTCCGTTCATTGTTGTAATTAAAAGGCCCAAGAAAATAACTTTAATACAAGGAATGACTTACTTTGGCAGCTTTTGTTTTTAGTTAATGTCACTTCGCCCCATCCCCTTAGACCTATGGCAAGACAGAACATGGTAGTTGAGCAAAGATTCTCACCCTGAAGTGGCTTTGAGGCAGAGAGACAGAGAGGAGGGTGCCCAATACCTCTTCAATGGTACATCCCCATTGACCCCCACACTAGACCTCACCTCCCAAAAGATCAGATAGCTCCCTGAGCTGGTGCCCATACCCTCAGTCTATGGCCCTTGAGGGACACTGAAAATTCAAACCAGTCCAGCAGGTTTCATGTGTGTGAAGGAAAGGCTTTATGTAAATTCTCAGTACTCCACTCTTTCCAAACTCCTTAGGAACTGTCCATCCTTAGCACTCAGCAAGCCTCGACTTTTAATTACTTGCTAGATTAGAGGCCTGGCCACAGTTTGTGCAGTAGAGAAAACATGTGAAACAGAAGCATTCCAACTTCCAAAACAAACATATACAGTAGTTACTGTTTTATTTTTAATTTGGTGGTAAATATTTTATGTTGTTTGAAAAGGAAGTTGGTAAAAAATACAACATAAGAAACACTAAAGCTAAAATTTCAAGCTCTGTCTTTACTGAAAAGTGTGTATGCACATTAGTATAGAAACCAGTGCAAAAAACAAAAAACAAAACAAAAACAAAAAAAACCTTTTGCAAATACTATGAAAGTGCAGCACGTAGGGGCAGCTAACAGACTTGAACTCCTGGTTCTCTGTGGGTTGAAAGTTCTTGTTTCATAGCTTAAGGTCCTAGAAAAAGCATCTTTGTTTCCGAACTTTGAATTTCATTTCTAACACCATGTAGCAGCATCTGCCTTAAGTCTGCTTTCTGTTGCCATAACAGATTACTAGAAGCATGGTGTTTTTTAAAGAATAGAGGTTCATTTAGTCCATGGTTCCCGAGGCTCCGGGAATCTGCTTGGCATCTGAAGAGGCTGTTCTGTAACAGATACCAACATAGGGTACCCCACCATGAGGAGAGGTAAACCAGGCTTTATCATAAACCCACTGTAGAGATAAAGCAGTAATCCATGAGTACATTAACCCAACTGTGAGGGGAGAGACGCCATGCCTGATCACTTCTCAACACTTCACAGCCAGGCTTCAATCTCAGGAAGTATCTAACCTACACCACGATCTCAATTGGCACATGGTATCTTCATTCTTGTGTTTTGAGCACTGTCACTCACAAAGTTGACCATGGGTGAAATTACTGAGGCTAACACACTCCAGGTAGTGATGACATTTGGGTTGCAGAAGAATGCAGGTATAAAGTGATCAGAAACCCCACAGGTGGGGACAAGTGGAAAGGTGGAAAGTCAGAGCTCGAGGGCATGTCCTTACAGTGCTGGGGGGAGCAGGAAGACAGCGCCCTGCCTAAGATCTGCTGCTCAGTGGGCAAGAAGCGGCCACTCCAGCATGGTCAGAGCAGGGTCATGGAGAAGCACAAGAAAGGGAAGTTCTCCTGACAGGGGGCACAGTGTTCCTCAGACCCGCCCTATCCTCATTCTCACTTACGCAGAGTAGAGGAGAAGTCGCCCACGTGGCTTCATAACCTAAGCTCTCCCTCTGGCCCTTCCAGCCACAGCTCTGGTTCTCTCCAAGGATCTGCACCATCTGTTGGGTGCTTGGTGGAAAGTGCTGGGCTAGAGGTTTGCATGGCTCGGCCTGCTGTGTCCTTCGCTCTCCTCTGATACTGTAAATTGCACCTTGGTGACCCCTGGGCTCTGTGCTCCATGTCACGTTCATCAACCCTGTGATTCCACTAGTGAGTCCTTCTCCAAGTAGCTATTTCCTTTCCCTTCTAGAACTCGAGCTCCCTCTCTCTTCTGCTGCGTGGCTTTGTGTTAACCTTTGCTTTACGAGTCTGTCAGCTCCAGTTACATCTCTGCCTCTTCACATCCCGTCCGTTCTCCAAAGCCTTGGATTCTGAGCCGTTGGAGCCTAGTGTGACACATCAAGTCCTTACTCGGGGACTGTCAGCAGGGCTCACTCAGAACTCCACCTCTGTCCCTCTCTGACCACCGACTTGCACTCCTGGTCCACATCAGTGCTGACAGTAACAGTGACCCTCCTTCCCAGTGCTGTCACAGCATCTTTGGGGACACCGGTGCCTCCCCAGCCCACCCACTCTTCACATCTCCTTCCGATACCAGCTCCTGTTTGTAGCATCTACTTCTTTTGGTCCTCTCAGCGTATGAATCAAACTTTCAAGTTTAACTTTGTTTCATGCAAATAGAAAGGTCATTATCTCTGTACCATGTGGGTCAGTGAAGCCAGTGGGGAGCCAGCAGAAAGAGGGGTTCCTGGGGACTCAGAAGAAAACAGAGAAAAAAGAGTCTTCTATCCTTGGGCTGATTGAAGCCTTTTTTCCCTGGGGTCCATACTTCATGGTGTGAACTGCCTACCCGAGGTCCTTACCTCAGCCACAGGGACTGGTGACTTGAGCCTGCGGGGGGCTCACTGGGCTGGGAGGAAGCAGTCCTGACAGCCCAGGTCAGAACCTTGAATGCACCTGGCCTTAGAAATATTAGTATTCATGGTGATTTAGGTCAACAATATTATTAATACTTTATCACAGCCACTAAAAGAAAAAAATTGTATGAATGGAGCTTTTTGCACATTGGCAATAAATCTACTCTCTATGTATAAAATTGCTTTAACAAACAAAACCATGCTCAGAGCTCCAGGATAACTTAGCAGGAGGCTTTGGGAATGCAGCTTGAAGCACAGACGTCTTTAAACTCTGTGGTTGTGTCCATATGTCGTGTGTGTTATGCCTCTCTACAATGCTCTGCTCTCTGTCCTCCCAGGTGATCACGGGGCTCCGACCATGACCTTACCTTCCATGATGGGAACCTGCCAGAAGGAAAACTGCTCGACCACGATCCCATCTTTGAACACAGGTATGTACTGACAACTCAGGTCTGTACTAGTCCCTCTAACATGTAATTAGATATTTTATTATGTCCATGAGAGTTGATCTTAGAATTGCATAATGTGTTGAAATAGAAGAACAGAGGGTAAAGGACCACAATAATCCAAGCTAGAGAAAGAATTCTTCATTTGTTATACTGAGCTACCTTGTTGCCCACAGTGTTTCTGTCTACCCAAACCTGGCAGATTCATTGTCCGGAATGTGCTACTCCCAAACAGCAGCCCACACTAAGGGGTCCCCTTCTGACTACTTGGCTACCAGCAAGGGATGTGGGAAAGCATGGATTCTACTCTATAATCCTGGCTGTAACCCTGGGCTTTCCATTTTTCTGGCTTATGGTGTGCAGGCTTTCAGAACTATGTTTGGATAGCTTATAAGGACAGAAAAATGAATGAAAAAAATCCCTCTCCCTCCTCAGGAGCAAACAGATGTGTAAAAATAACTTTAGTTCTAAGCCATTCTCTTAAGATGTAGCAGGAGTCTGGGAACATAGCATAGATGATGTTTTCTAAATTATAGAAAAAATAGTGATGTATTTCTGAAAGCAGGAGATACAACTGATGGTGTGTATGTATTTGGAGGTGAGTTCAGGGCCACATTCATATTAGGCGCGTGCTCTACCTATGAGCTATACCGAGCCCTTGTTGATAGTAGATCTTTATGTAACTCCAAAGTTGTCACAGCTAAAGAAGTGTAGAGTCAGTCAAGTGGTGAAATAAATGCAGAGCAGTTGAGGGAAGTGTCGTGAAAGACAGTGGAAGGATGGAGCATTAACTTACTTTTTTCTTGAGATGTTGGACTGTTGGTGGGCAGGGGATGAATGGTCCCTTCCACTGACTGAATCTCATACTTTCTGACCTAGAGAGAGAATTCAACGCTGTATTCATTCCATGTAGTATCCAATGGTACAGGCACTTGAGATGTTTCCAGCAAAGTTTGCCTGACCCCCAGTCAAAGCTCACCTGAGAACCAGCTCTTCTTGGCTTACTGAGCATCCACTCTCTACAGCCATGTTGTGTGTGTCCCTCCAATTCCTCCAGCTTCCCCCACAGGTCACAGCAGAGGCTCTTGACGTCATACTCCTTGGCAAGCTGCTGAACACTGGGTGTTGGGACCCCTCTTGAGTCACCTCATACACTCTCTTTTTAAGATTTATTTTTATTTTCTATTTATGTATATGGCACTTGTGTGTAAGCACCTAGAGGCCAGAAGAGAGTGTTACATCCCCTTGACCTGGAGTTACAGGCAGTTGTGAACTGCCTGCTGAGTATGGTAGGGACTGACTCAGGTCCTCTGCAGCAGCAGTGTGTACCCTTAACCACTGAGCCATCTCAAGCCCATCTCACATTATTGACCTGCATTTGGCCCTCTCTTGGCGAAAGTACCATTCTTTGGTGGTTTAGCTGTTATCCCATAAATACCTACCCTGGGCTCCTATAATTGGGAGTTTAGGAGCTCACAAATGAAGCTGTACATTTGTTTCTGTGTGTTTATGCCAACCCAAAATGTTAGGATGTGAATATGTTGGGACCGTGGTTTCCAGGTTTCAATGTCCTTCTGTTCCCTAATTCTGTTCTTCCTGGTCATGTCATCCTTGGCCATGACAAGCCCTTGGTCAGAGCTTAGAGATCTGATTCACCACTTGTCTTTACATGGGTTATGCCATTTCTAACTTTTTGATGGAAGATATATAATATGAAGTGGGTGTGGCCCAAAGGCCCTGAGAAGTTTCATCTGGATCCTCACAGATTAAAAAAGAATTCAACTTCTGCTCTAGATATTTCCATAAGATATCTGGGAATATTGCAGAGGACAGCAACAGGAATTTCAGGGCCTGCAAACACTCTCAGATGCACACGGTCATGCTTTGTGAAATTCTTCAGCTCCCTAGAAATATGTCACAAATGGGACAGGCCGGGTGGCTCAATCAGTAAAGTGCTTGCTGTACAAGCATGAGGTCATGAGTTCAATTCCCAGGACACACACACACACACACACACACATACACACACACTCACCTGGACACTGTAGTATACATGTGTACCCCCAAAGCTGGGGAGAAGAGGACAAGAGGATCCCTAGGGTTCAGTGGCCAGCCATTCTAGCTAAGAGTAATTGAGAAAGGCAACCAAGGTCGACCTCTGGCTTCCACACTCATGTGCATGTACATTCATTCCTCCCCCCTCCTCTCTCTCTCTTACACACACACACACACACACACACACACACACACACACACACACACACAGAGAGAGAGAGAGAGAGAGAGAGAGAGAGAGAGAGAGAGAGAGAGAGAGAAATATGGCACAAATAAACTATCAATCTATGTACTCTCTAAAATTTTTTAAAATTAGGAAATTCTTTGTGAAAGCCACCTCACTGGTTTTGGGGCACAGTGCCTGCTCACCCCCAGTCCCAGGTCAGTCTGTGCTGTCATCCCACCTCCTCCCCACAGCATCCTCTCAAGGACCCACCTGAGCACCTTCTGTTACATGAAGTCATTCATCAGCAGGTTTCAGAGTCTGTCTCCACCAAGTCCCTGACTACAGATGTTTCTCACTTTTCTAAGGACATAGGGACAGTTCCTCACCCCAGGTACACTGCCCCCTTCCCCAAAGTCTCTGTCATTTGGGGTACAATGGTAGCAGTGTGTGGAAATCTTGTAGAGAAGCTGCCAGAGGTGTTGGAAACCATCCTGGAGCTGGAGGTGGGGGGACAGCTTAACTAGTGGAGGTTCCCCCAGCCAGAGCTGAAGCCACAAGAAGCCACAGCAGAGCCAGCCTTTAGCACTTGGCATTCAAGTGTTAAAATTGATTTCATTAGAATTTGAGAAGTCTTTGAATTTGACTTCTGTTTTTGTAATTTAAGTTCTAATTTTTTAAAGTAGGGTATCATTATTTAGCCCTGGATGTACTGAAACTCAATACGTAGATCAGACTGGACTTGAACTCACCAAAATCTACCTGCTTCTGCCTCCTGAGTGCTGGGATTAAAGGTGTGCGCCACCAACGCCCCCAGTGGATTCGACCTTCTGAGCCTTACTTCCTATCAATTTTGCCAATATGAATAATTACAGTAATTTGATTAAAAGTGTGTAGATTTTATCTCCGGGGCTTATTTTCTCTAAATTTTGGCAGAACGTAGTTAGCTGCAGTTATTTGATCGAAAAGCCCATGAGTTTGATCTTCTCAGCTTCTTGAAATGTTGGCTGTGTGCATTTAGTCATGTTAGTGGAGGGAAAGCTGAAGTCTGGTGTCTGTTGTGCAACACATGTCGCCTGGACTTAAAAATAGCTTTCCTGTCCAGGGCCGGAATGCAGTTCTATTTCGTGAGCTGTGGTGTGCATTTGTGGGGCCTTGGTTTGCTGTCTTGTGCACATCACAAAGGGCCCAGGCACACAGCCTGTGTAAGGGCGGGGCATGGCTGGAAGACACAGTCAGGCACACAGCCTGTGTAAGGGCAGGGCATGGCTGGAAGACACAGTCAGGCACACAGCCTGTGTAAGGGCGGGGCATGGCTGGAAGACACAGTCAGGCACACAGCCTGTGTAGGAGGCAGGGCATGGCTGGAAGACACAGTGTTGGCCCTGGGAAGGCTCCTGCAGGTGCAGGTTAGGGCATTTTCCCAGCAACAGAGGATTCATGTGACAACTGGCAACTAATTCAACTTGAAAAACACTCCAAAAAACTTTGTATTTCACTTGCTTCAAGCCTGCCACAATCTCAAATGAAAATACTTACCTAAATCCACACCCCTCACAAAAAAAAAACCCTGACTTTTCCAGAAAAGCCAAGCCTTGTTGAGACAATACTGAAAGTATAATCACGGGTGCTTTGTGAGTCAATGCCATTTGCACATTCAGGAGAATAAAGTTCACATGTGTTTAGCATTTATGAGACCAATTTTAATCTCCTGTCATCCTATTTTAATAGAGAAGGTTGGTGGGTAGCAGAACTTGTTAAGCTAACACATGCTACATTTTGGATTCCCATTGGCTACCAGTGTTTTAAAACATTTTCCTAGTTACAAAAAAGCTTAGGATCATCATTTCTATAATGGGTGTATTGTCGCTAAAGTTTAAGACGAGAGGGTTTGAATTGCTCTCAGACTTTCAAAGGAATCTCAGCTCCAGGCTGCTGTGTTCACAGGAGCCACGAACAACAAATAATTTAATTGTTAAAGCATAAAAGGGGACATTAATAAATACTTATGTTCAAGCATGTCCAGTATTTTTTAAGATGTACTTTTATTTATGTATTTGTGTGTTTGTGTGAGTGTATGTCAAGCCAGAAGAGGGCATTGGATCCCCCAGGGCTAGAGTTAAGGCATTGTGAGCCATCCCACATGGGTGCTAGGAGCTGAACTCTGGTCCTCTGGAAGACCAGCAAGTTATCTTAAGCACTGACCATCTCCAGCTAGTGTCCAGTATTCTTTTTTTAATGTATAGACTAACATTCTGGGTGAGATAATAGCTTCAGATCCAGTAGGATATGTTTATTCCTTTCCTCAAATGAAACTTTTTCTTATCATTATTAAGAAAAAAATGTGTTTTCTGGTTGTCAACTAAAAATGGATAACTTCAAAATCACTCAAGTGTCAGATTTGTTATTGTGTTAAACAATGACTTTTTGTAAGATTTAACAGCCACTGTATGTGGGTAATTGATAACTTGTATTCACTGGGCCCTAACGATGTACCAAGCACTGTTCTAAGTGTGTGTGTGTGTGTGTGTGTGTGTGTGTCCCGTTGTATCTGAGGGACTGTCTTAGGCCTGACTGTGCTGGCCAGGCACTTCTTCGGATACTCAGTGCAGAGGCCACTGCCACTCAGGCTGCTATGTGTTTTCTCATCTGCTGACCCGCCCTTCTTGGGGACCGAAAGGTTCCTGTAGGCTGAGATACTTACACCTGTATCTCCTTTTCCTCACACAAAGCTCCTGTTGGAAGGATCAGCTTGTCACACAAGTGACCACAAGGGGGCGCTTACCTATGGGATCCCCGAATGACACACTGAGAGCGGAAAGTGGACTCATGGCAAACAGTAGAACCTTTTAATAGAGCTCATAGAGGCTGCTGTATGACCCCAGCATGCCTGTGTGGCTACCACTGAGCAAGATGACTAGGCCAATGCTGGCACCGACCTGACTTGGGCACCCCCCACCCCTACTCCCACCCCCCCCCACCCCCACCCCCACCCCCTCACCCCCACAGGGTACATGCCACATGGTAAGCCAGACCTCTTGGTGTGTATTTGTAGCCAACTCATTTTATAAAATTTTACCCATCCAATTTTTATATTTCAAAAACTTAAGTAACTCTGCCTTGTCTCTCCTCTGTGCTTAGTTCTTGTCAATTGCACAAAGTCGTGAGCTTCGTTATGACATTTCCATATTGGCATTTAATGAACTTGGAGCATATTCAATCCCTGCTACCCTTTCTTGGCTCCCCTCCCCCCTCCACAGCCTGAATAGTTCCCTACCCCTTTGCAATTTCATGTCTTCTAAGTCATACATGTGAGAGAAAACACACAATTCTTGTCTTTGTGAGTCCTGTTCCATCCGTTTCCCTACAAATAATACAATTTCTTTCTTGTTTATGAATGAAGGAAACTGTTGTATACACAAAGCACAGTTCTTTCTCTATTGGGCCCTTCATCTGTGATGTATGCCCAGGACGCTTCCGTCTTCTGGCTACTGTGGCAGCAAGGCCTCAGTAAACATGAGCATGCAGGTCTCTGTAGTGAGCTGTCCTTGATTCTTTGGAATCTGAACCAGATCATGTATTGGCCCAAGTTTTAATTTATGAGGAACTTCCATGCTTATTTCCATAGTGGCTGTACTAGCTTATCCCACCAGCTGTGTAAAAGGGTCACATTCACACACACACCCCCTCACTAACAGTTGTTGGGTTTTTTGTTGTTGTTATTGTTTTTTTTTTTTTTTTTTTAATCTTGATGGTTGCCGGCTGATATGGGGTGAGATGGGACATCAGTGTAGTTGTGATTTGTATTTTTCTCGTGCCTGGTAATGGTGGTGGCATTTTGTATGGCAGCCAGTCCATTTTATTTCGCCATGGCTAATCACGTGTGATGTATGGATTTCCCTGGCTCCCAGACAACTTCATTTCCCGTCACTTCCATGTGCCCACCAAACTGGCACATAGTGGTCTTCAGTTGGCATTTGCTATGCTACAACCAGAGAGTTCCAATTAGTAAAATGTATCTAACATCCCACGACACTCGTTACTCATTTGCTTTGATTGAAAGTCTGACTTCACTGGGCAGTGGTGGGGCACGCCTTTAATCCCAGTACTCGGGAGGCTGAGGCAGGCGGATCTCTGTGAGTTCGAGGCCAGCCTGGGCTACAGAGTGAGTTCCAGGAAAGGCGCAAAGCTACACAGAGAAACCCTGTCTCCAAAAACCAAAAAAAGAAAAAAAAAGTCTGACTTTTGCGAAGTAGCGGTAGGTGTGCTCCATATGACCTCCTTCCTGGAACTCAGAAATTCTCTGTGACAATCTCTTTCCCTTTCACTGCCTTCCTTTTTCTGTCCTGTTCATCTGTCACCACCTCAAAGCTGCCCCAGTCCCCATTGCTCCTTCCTCCCCAAATTCCTTCAGATTTCCAAACCAGAAATCTTACCGTCTGCCTGTGTCTGCATGCAGCCCTCCTGCCAGGGGTATTCCAGCTTTAGAAGGAGCAACTTGGACTCATGTAAAAACATCAGGGTCCCTCTTCATAGGATATAAAATAAAATCTGTTCAGAAGCGAGAACTCAGCCTTCTCCTAACGATGCCTACACAGGCATTGGCCATGGATCACTCCATGAGATGGCTTTCCTTCCCCATGGCCAGTGGTTGCTTTTACATTCTTGCCTTGACATGCAGCCTGTAGCCCCAGGTCCCCAAGTCCCCTGAGGTGAGGTTCTTTAACTCTGTAACAAAATGAGCCTTTGCCTTTCTGCTCATTTACTACGTGACAGAATCCTGTTTCTTGTGCCCAGATGAGCTGACAGTCCTAGCTTTAAATGGCTTTCTGTTTTCTGTCTGGATCTTTCAGCATGGGGTCAATCTCAGGACTTTTCTGACACATTGTATCTTTTCCTTTCTTCTCATTCCTAAGCAGAGTTTCATCTCTAGTCCCAAGTGGTCCCTCAAACTCTGAAACTTACTCCAAATAATAGAATTGTGGCTGCCCCAGTAGTAAGCTCCTACTGTGTGCAGTTCTAACATGCCTGACGTGGTCCTTGGCCAACCCTCATTCTGTATGAAGCTGCGGAGGTCGGTACCTGCCCCAGTCCGGATCACGTCCTTGGCCTGGTCATTCATCTGAACCTCTTGGCAGTCTGGGTAGAGAGCTGCATTGACCACAGTCTCCACTACAGTCGGGCACATGAGTCTTAACCTTGTCACAGTTTACCTTTCTATTCTGTCATTTTCCACCAAGGCAAGAAAAGCAAAATCTCAAGGTATTATAAGTGTGTGGCTCTACATGTGCCAGTCATGTGTGGTGGTCACATGTGAAGCAGATGTCATGTGACTTCAAAAAAAATTCTGTTCAGCACAATAGAAGCAGATTCTTGGATGTAGATAATAGCGTGTTTTCAAAACCTTTGTGTCTCTGCAGCTGATGAGGGGAGTGAGGATGGAATTGAGCGGACGTGTGACACCCTGCTCATGTGCATTGTCACGGTGCTGAACCAGGGCCTCCGGAATGGCGGTGGCGTGGGGGATGTGCTGAGACGACCATCCAAAGATGTGAGCAAGACGGGAAGGGCTTAGTTTAAGAAGCACATGATTATTTCCTTCCTTCCCTCTGACCCTCCTTCATGTCCTCCCCCATTACTTCCCTCTCTCCCTCAGCCCCTTCCCTTCCCTTTCTCCTTCCTTCCCTTCCCTTTTGTCCACCCCTCCCTTCCCCTCCCCCTCCCATCTCCCTCCCTCCCTCCCTTCCTAAATTGGGAATTGAACTATCAACACAACATATCCCCAGCCCTCTTTTTACTTTTTAAACTTTGAGATTAGGAGTTTCACTGCATTGCCCAGGCTGGACCTGAACTCACTCTGTAGCCCGGGCTGGCCTTGAAGTTGCTCTTCTTCTGCTCAGCCTCCCTGAGGCTGTGACAGGCCCGTAGAACACAGGCCTTGCTTCTGTCTTGTTCCCTTCCTTACCAGTGTTTACATATGGTCTTGATTTTCAGGACTACAGCATCATTTGTCTAAAGTATAGCAGTGGCTGTAGGACAGTTAATTGCACAGTGGAATCCTGGGGGAACAGAGGTGAACTAAAAGCCTTTGGATGTCAGCTGGGCTCCAGTCTGAACCGCACATTATGTCACAGCAACAAAGTCACAGCCACAAACTCTACAGGAACTGATTGGTAAATAGAGCCCAGCAGCTCGGCTGCCTGTGCCTACAGAATCCCCAGGTGCCAGGATTTACTCTGCTTCTGCATAGGAAGAACCGCCATTATTTACCAGGGCGAATATAAAGTGTGGATGAGTTCTAACAGAATTTCATACATTAAAGTGGCAAAGTGAGAACATTCCTCAGTAACTGTAAATGTTGAAGCACCAGGCTGGAAGCATACAGTTTTCTTCTGCAACTAGCCTGTTATATAATGTCCAGTCATCTTGCTAAAAAGCTCGGCTCTCCTGTAAACAGCTGGATCCCGTGGTCTCTGATGTGTGTTTTAACATTGCAGACCAGATAGGACACACATACTTGACCTTGTCAGAACAAGGCCAGAACTACTGCAGAAGCTGAGAAAGCACCAGTTTTCCTCGGCTAGCCTTGCGGTTGTGTTTGACTCCCTTTGGCTTGGTGTCTGGGAGAAACCTGCATGATTGTGTTTCTCAATGCTGTGACAAAATGCCCAACCAAAGCAAACGAGGGAAAGAAGGGCCATTTTGGGCCACAGTTCTGTGGGATTATCCCCTCATCCTGGGAAAGACACAACTTCAGTTAGAGAAAGAGTGGCGCAAGGCCGGGAGGCCAGCTGGCCACATTGCTTCCACCCTCAGCAAGCAGAAGTGGAGAAGGGACAAGGCCCGCCCCCAGTGACTCACTTCCTCTGGTGAGGCTCCACCTCCTGAAGGTTCCACAGCCTCCCCAACCAGATGAGGACCAAGAGTCCAAACAACAACGTGAGCCTGTGCAGACATTTTATATCCATCACTAGTAAAAGCACACAAGAAAGTGTGGTCCTCTTGGGGGAGATGTATCAGCCCCAGAGAAATGGAAGAATTCTGAGAACAGGCTTCAGGCACTCCCTTAGCTGGAGGAAAAGAAGGGCAGAGGGAGCTTTCCTTTTCCTAACGGGGCTACTGTGTGTGTTCACTCAGAGGATACCTGTTGAACATCGGGTTTGTGCTAGACAGTGTGCTAACTCAACCGCCACGAAGTGTGTGTGTGTGTGTGTGTGTGTGTGTGTGTGTTAGAGGTGTGTTTTGCCCTTCTGTTGCAGGAGCCCTTATTTGCTGCCCGTGTGGTTTACGACCTCCTCTTCTTCTTCATCGTCATTATTATCGTTCTGAACCTGATTTTTGGTGTGATCATTGACACCTTTGCTGACCTCAGAAGTGAGAAGCAGAAGAAAGAAGAAATTCTCAAGACAACCTGTTTCATCTGTGGTAGGTGCCCCCCACGGTGTTATGATGAAAGATGAATAAGTCCCCCCAGATGCTAAGGTAGCGGATGGACAAACTGCTCAGCAGGAAGAAGGGATGAGAATGATTTCCATTTTTTCATGCTTTAGGAAAAATTGTTTTACTGTAAAGGCTGGATAAAATTCAGGTTACGTAATGTGGTATGAGACTGACATTCTCTGCTTCCATAAATAGATGCAAGAATCACCCCAAACTCTTCACCATTATTTCTGCAATTTATACAGTCCTCTGCCTGTCTAATGTGCTGCCAGATGCCAGGAGGTTCCACCAACTGGCAAATGGGCTTTTAATCACAATAGCATATTGAGTACATTACAGAGTGACTTTTATTTTGCTAGATTATGAATCAAAGATTCCACTCATTTAAAATCACCATTTTAGATTCAAAACTAGTCAATATCCTAGTGTTACAGCTACACACACATATAACATGCTCATCACAGAACATAAAAATACTGTAGAACATACCACACACATCGACATCGTGCACCTACCACACCCCGCACACCCACACTACACACAACATACTGCAGGCTGCACACACACCCATATACTGCACATGTGTGCACACACGCCACATATACTGCACATGGGTGCACACACCACATATACTGCACATGTGTGCACACACCACATATACTGCACATGGGTGCACACACCCATATACTGCACATGTGTGCACACACCACATATACTGCACATGTGTGCACACACCATATATACTGCACATGTGTGCACACACACCACATATACTGCACATGTGTGCACACACACCACATATACTGCACATGTGTGCACACACTCCACATATACTGCACGTGTGTGCACACACACTCCACATATACTGCACGTGTGTGCACACACACTCCACATATACTGCACGTGTGTACACACACACACCACATATACTGCACGTGTGTGCACACACACTCCACATATACTGCACGTGTGTGCACACACACAACACATATACTGCACATGTGTGCACACACACACCACATATACTGCATGTGTGTGCACACACACACCACATATACTGCATGTGTGTGCACACACACACCACATATACTACACATGTGCACACAAACCCTTTCCTTCTGCCCCATCATCATCTCTCAGGCTGAACAACTTTTTCTTCATTGTTATTTTCTCTCAAGTCCTCCCTTTCCTCTCTCTGTCAGTTCTCTCTGGCGTCACTGGCCACTATAGTCCCTTCTCACTCACCCCTCCACTCTCCTGCCTTTGGTCTTCACTGCAGTGTCATTCCATCTAACTGAAGCTGGGCCTCAGTAAAGCCTGTTCTCTGCCTGCCGTGGCTTTCCTCGCTTGTCCCCTTCTCCTCTGTGGCTCTTCCAAGCTGCTTCGTCATTCCTCCAGCTGGAGATGTCCCTGGGAATAATGTGAAAGAATATTCATGATCTAGGGAAGAATGTATATTAGCCACGACCTGTTTCAGCCTTCATGGTCTGTGCTGAGACAGACAGACAGACATGCATGCACGCACGCATGCACGCACATGCTGTGTATCAAGGGAAATGATAGCGAAATCTCTGGGTTGCTGAGGAGAGGATGGGCACTTCTGCAGTTTGGGGTGAGGAGCAGTAACAGCCAACATGTTTCTTAGGGCAGATGACGCAGAGCTGATGGTCAAAGACAAAGGGATTAGTCAGTTGCCGAAGTGGGTAGAAGCAGAATAGCCAGGACCAGAGGTGGCATGGAAATGGTGTCCGCACAGCACGGGGCTTCACTTACTTTGAGTGTCACTGTGACCGAACACTAGCAGCTTACGGGATGAAAGGTCTCTTCAGGTTCTGGTTTGAATCGGCCACCATGGCAGGGCAGGGCTGGCGGTGAGAGTGCCTCTCGGCTCTGGCGGTAGGAGCGCGAGGCTGCCTGTCCACATGCTGGCTGTCAGGGAGCAGAGACTGGAAGTGGAGTTGAGCTACACACCTTGATCTGCTGCACTAGTGGCTGATCTCCGGCTAGGCCTGCTTCCCCAAGTTCTCTGAGCTCGAAAAGAACCGCCAGCTGGGGACCAAGCACTAAAGCATGTGCCGAGGGGGCTTTCCTATACAAACCATAGCAGAGGGTCACGGTGTTCCCGGTGTGGGCTTCAGAGCAAGGTGGCCACAGGGAGGGCATTCAGCTGAGGCAGGGTAGATTTAGGAAAGGCACTGGGTCGGGTTTTGGTTCAGAGCACTGCAGTAACCCTGGGGACTCCTTCATCAGGGGTTGGCCTGAAGGCAGAGTAACTGGTTGTTGCCACAGCCCCGATGATAAGTAAGGAAGACCAGTTTCTGAGAGCCTGTGGCACGGTGTTGGGGGTAGAAGGCAGAGTCAAGAAAGTAGATGATAGAATCTTAAAATATTTTTTAAAAATGTTCTTACTTTTATTTATGTGTATGACTGTTTAGCTTGCATGTATGTATGTGCACCAGAGGTCAGAGCTGTGGACAGTTGTGAGCCACTATGGAGGTGCTGGGAACCAGACCCTGCTCCTCTACAAGAACAGCAAGTGCTCTTAACCACTGAGCCATCTCTCCAGCTCCAGAACTTTGAAATCCTGATGGTTGGGAATGGATATGAAAGATGGCTGGATGCGTGGGTGATACCAAGTGGCTGAGTATCACGGGGGAGTGAGGTATGAATACCCTGAGTTTAACTTGGGGAGCTCTGGACTTGTGGGTGCAGTGAACATCCAAGGCAGGGTATACCCTAGCATGAGTCAGTGTGTCTTCTCTGCAGACAGTGACAGGCACCCCCAGCCTGCAGACTATAGTAAAATCTGGAGCATGAAGGAAGGCTGCCTGGTCAGATGTGGAACCTGTGGAGTGTAACAGGAAGCAGCATCCAGGAAGAGTCAGGAGACAGACAGCATAGGGGAGGAGGGTTCAAGGACGCTGGAGGAGCTGGCACCAGGGAACGTGGTATGCACACTCCGCCCTGCTGGCTCCTCTAACACGAATTCTAATAGGCCTTTTAATAAAAAACCTGGAGCTAGATATTGGGGTAAATGCTGAAAGATCAGAGACAAAGGAACAAGCCACTGCCACATCTCACCTCGCCAACTCCACGAATCCTCTGTTTGAAAGCCTCTGAGTCCTCAGCCAAAACAGCCTCTAGCAGAAAGGGGTTTCTGCCAAAAAGGGCTTCAGCTGAAAAGCCTCTAGCCGAAAGGGGCTCCAGTTCCTGTCTCCTCATGCCTTATGTACTTTTCTCTGCCTAGCCATATTACTTCCTTCCTAGTGCTGGAATTAAAGGTGTATGACTTCCCAAATACTGGTAGCAGAGGCCTGAAATCTCAAGTGCTGGGATTAAAGGTGTGTGGTTCCCAAGTACTGGGATTAAAGGTGTGTGCCACCCCCATGGCAGCTATGTTTAATCTAGTGGCTTATTCTGTTTTCTGATCTTTAGGCAAATTATTTGGGTACACAATATATCACCACATGCTACAGCATGGTGGGATATGCTGTTGCTGTTGGGGCCAGCAGGACAGATAGATGCTGGCTTGTCTCAGGAGAAGGCTCAGCATGCCATTTCTGGCCCCTGGATTCACATCAGTGCATGGTGATTTCCTGAGCAGCCCTTTGGTGTTCTGCTTGGAGGTTTGACCCAGACTGACACAATCCCAGAGCCAAGCCTTGCAGAGACATACATGGTAAACCCCAAAAGCCTATTGGGTGTCCCTCTCTGGGTGGCTCTGGGCAGATCCAGGTGGAGAATATTCTCCTGAGCCTGGTGTCTTAGCACCAAGAGACCTGTGCCTGTGAGCTGAGATGAAAGTGCTTGAGGGATTCCTCAGGTCCTGTGCATTGTGACAGACCCCCCAAGTCCCCTTTTATAAAGGTGACAGACCCCCCAAAGTCTCCTTTTATAAAGGTGACAGACCCCCCAAGTCCCCTTTTATAAAGGTGACAGACCCCCAAGTCTCCTTTTATAAAGGTGACAGACCCCCCAAGTCTTCTTTTATAAAGGTGACAGACCCCCCAAGTCTTCTTTTATAAAGGTGACAGACCCCCCCCAAGTCTTCTTTTATAAAGGTGACAGACCCCCAAGTCTTCTTTTATAAAGGTGACAGGCCCCCAAGTCTTCTTTTATAAAGGTGACAGACCCCCCCCACATCTCCTTTTATAAAGGTGACAGATCCCCCAAGTCTCCTTTTATAAAGATGACAGACCCCCAAGTCTTCTTTTATAAAGGTGACAGACCCCCCCAAGTCTCCTTTTATAAAGGTGAAAGACCCCCCAAGTCTCCTTTTATAAAGGTGACAGACCCCCCCCCAAGTCCTCTTTTATAAAGGTGGCATAATTGTTGACAAGGGCATTGTAAAAAGCCTACTTCTGCCAGTCAGCATGAAGGGAAGCAAGTGTCTGAGATCTGTATTGTTTCTGTGCCTTCATGGCTGACAGTATTGCCTCTCTTCCCCCTTCCCTTTCTCATATTCATGTAAAAATGTATCCATATATATGTATATGTACAAGTATACACATATACATGTATATATGTATATACATATATACATATAATTTGCAACCAACTGCCAGAGCAAGGCAGGCCAATATCATGAATGGAAGACCCTTGTCCTTTGGCCTCATCACTTGGGAAGACCATTGTCCTTTGGCCTTGTCACTGGGATGCTTTGGTGGTTTAGGCAGACCAGGCTGTCCGGTGCAGAGCTCAGATTTGCTAGAAGGAGGCTGAGGTCAAAGAAGAATCTCTTGTCCATGTCTAGACTGGACGAGGGAAGTGAGGTTGGAGTGAGTGTCCTGTGATCACTCAGGAGTGTGGGGAAGAAACCTGTCTAGAGACCTGAAGGAACGCTTCTTCAATCCTGGGCAAGAACTAGGGAACAAACAAACAAACAAACAAACAAACAAACAAACGAAGCTCTCATTCCTCTCTTTGGTGTGAAACATGTCGATGTTTTCACTTCTTCGCAGTAAATTGTTTGTGTGTGGCCTCCC